ATTCGTCACCTAAAGGAAAAAACAACATAAGAAGTAATACTCAAAAAGTTGCATTCAACACACGAAAAAATAAGAACCTAGAACCTGCGTAAAGAAAAAAAAATTAATTGCATTCGTCACCTAAAGGAAAAAACAATACAAGAAAATCAGAAGTAATATTAAGAAGCTGCATGCAACACGCTAAAAAAATGAGAATTATAAGAGAAGCGCCAAACACATACAACATGCAAAACATACACAATGGTACATACACATAAACAACATAACATATATTTATAAAAAAAAAAAAAAAAAAAAAAAAAAAAAAAAAAAAAAAAAAAAAAAAAAAAAAAAAAAAAAAAAAAAANAAAAAAAAAAAAAAAAAAAAAAATATGCACAACACGCAATACATGTAACAATATGCAATAAAGAAATACAGAAAGATTTATAAAACAGAATACAGAAATAATGACATACCCAACACCTGCATGTGACGCGCGCAAGAACCAAGCCGAAACTACCCTTTTTCCGGCCAGAGCTCGCGTATATATCACCTCGTATCCAGTGTTACCACACTAGTGTAGTTAGCACGGGGGTAAACTATGACGTAATAATTCTCATAGGACCAAAGCTTGCAAAGTGAATTGAATAATTACCTTACTACCTAAATTGGAAAATATTACGCTTTTCCATCAGAATCAACCAATCAAACGCTTGCATGGGATCAGAATCGACCAATCAGGCGCTTGTTATCTAAATTTACCAATGACTTGTACATGAGGTGACGTCACTCTAATGTCCCGTAGCCGTGGTCACACCATCAATATTTTGGTCATTATGTGAAGGTCGCAGTCATATACAAAATATATATTATAAGCTAGTAAACCAACAGAAGAAGAAGAAGAAATATATACAGGGTGTACCAAAAGTCCGTCCCACCCCTGCTAACTTTTGAACGAATTGTGCTAGGGTAATGAAACTTTGGGAATGTTCCTATCTCAAAGGGGACCATCTCTTGAGGGGGTCAAAATTTTGGGCCCCCCTCAGGGAGGGCGCGGGGGGCCCCCAACTTTTTAATTTCAAATGGCAACCCCTATCTTGTGATACGTCATTCGAAAGAGCATAAAAAACTAAGAATTTTGGCGCAAACCGCAGATCAATATCTTAATTTTTGACCGAGTTATGATAGGTCAAAGGTCAAATTTGACCTATTTTCAAAAAATCATAACTCCGGTTCAAATTATCGTAAAGAAAAAAATAAAACAGGAAAATCTACCAAATTGTGTCCGCTTTTAAGTAAAAATTGCAGAAATCACATCGCTGTAATTTTAAGGGGGGGCTCGGACCCCCAAATACGTCAAATCAAAGGTCATTCAATTTTCCCGCGAAAAAAGGCAATTTCCCCTAGATTTGCCTCCACATTATCTCAGTGAGGTCAAAATTCGTTCAACATTACGTTGGCAAGTCCCCAAATTTCGGGAAAAGTTAAAAAAAACGAAATTTAAGGTGATTAAATTTGACCGTTTAAATTTCGTTTTTTTTAACTTTTCCCGAAATTTGGGGACTTGCCAACGTTATGCTGAACTAATTTTGACCTCACTGAGATAATGTGGAGGCAAATCTGGGGGAAATTGCCTTTTTTCGCGGGAAAATTGAATGACCTTTGATTTGACGTATTTGGGGGTCCGAGCCCCCCCTTAAAATTACAGCGATGTGATTTCTGCAATTTTTACTTAAAAGCGGACACAATTTGGTAGATTTTCCCGTTTTATTTTTTTCTTTACGATAATTTGAACCGGAGTTATGATTTTTTGAAAATAGGTCAAATTTGACCTTTGACCTATCATAACTCGGTCAAAAATTAAGATATTGATCTGCGGTTTGCGCCAAAATTCTTAGTTTTTTATGCTCTTTCGAATGACGTATCACAAGATAGGGGTTGCCATTTGAAATTAAAAAGTTGGGGGCCCCCCGCGCCCTCCCTGAGGGGGGCACAAAATTTTGACCCCCTCAAAAGATGGTCCCCTTTGAGATAGGAACATTCCCAAAGTTTCATTACCCTAGCACAATTCGTTCAAAAGTTAGCAAGGGTGGGACGGACTTTTGGTACACCCTGTATAGCGGGCCACTACATATTGACGAAAATGTTGTAATTTGACGTCATTTTCTGTTTTCATGAACTGGGTGGCCTTGAGATATTGTCCAAAATCTTGACGTGACCACGACTTGTTTTGGTCAACAATGTCGAAGGAATATGGGATTGGACCAACTCTTCTGCAGCTAGTGATCAGTGCATTCGATGTACAAAGAGGGGCTGTTATCAGTCGGATCGCTATCTGCTGGCCGGGGCTGCTCGGGTCTCGCGTCATCTTCTAGATCACGATGATACCCCGCTCATAGAGGTATTCAGTGGAAATCCCGCGCCCGGAAAAATGGTCGTGAGGCTCTAAAAATTGGCGAATCGATACGAAACTTTAGGCACATATAGTTTAGGGTACGGGCAATCCATTAATGCGTTCTCCGGAAAAAGGGCCCATACGCCCATGGGCCTTTCTTCCGGAACCCTCCTCAATTGTGACCGGTCAGTGGGTCAAGAGGTAACCGTGTTAAGTTGTAAAAACCCCCGTAGTGTCCTGATTTTCGACGCCATTTTTCCATCAGCAAGTAATAAACAGATATAAGTTAGAAGTGAATGACCTCTTTTGACATGCGAGGGAAATTAGGGGTTCAAAGTTCACTGTGTCATCACATCAGGACAATATCTTAGTACTCAAGGGTCATTGACTTTCCAATTAATGTTTATGATGGCGACAGTTCAGAGGGTCAGAAGGTCACGATGTTCCATTATGAAAACCTCACGTATGTCATCGTGTCAGTGCCGTTGTTTCAGGAAAATATGTTCATACTCAAGGATCGAAGACTTTCCGATCCTTGATTATAATTGTGACCGGTCAGTGGGTCAAGAGGTAACCGTGTTAAGTTGTAAAAACCCCCGTAGTGTCCTGATTTTCGACGCCATTTTTCCATCAGCAAGTAATAAACAGATATAAGTTAGAAGTGAATGACCTCTTTTGACATGCGAGGGAAATTGGTTGTTCAAAGTACACTGTGTCATCGCATCAGGACAATATCTTAGTACTGAAGGGTCATTGACTTTCCAATTTATGGTTATGATGGCGACAGTTCAGAGGGTCAGAAGGTCACGATGTTCCATTATGAAAACCCCACGTATGTATTTAGGTTAGCAAGTCGTTGCAGGTGTGAACACTTTCAATGGAACTGAGTTAGTTAGAGACGGAGCGATATGCTGTCGCGAAAACGCCTTCATTTATTTGGGTATGCAATTGTATTCCGGAACGCACGACTATTTGCATCGCACAAGCCGTCCGTGCTTTCAAACAGAGTGTAGGAAGAAAACTGGTTTAAATAGGTTGAACGCCTGCATAAATGAGTGAAGTCATATTTTTCAATAAAAAATGGGCCAGTTGCGCTGGTCATAGAATCGTGTTTTGAGGCTTGATTCTCGGAGATTAGCTCAAAATAATGAGATCCGTCCAAACCGCAACTCTCTGCGCTCAATATTAACCGAGATATCGTCCATTGAAAAGTCGGGTTTTTGACGTCATCAACCGCGGCAGTAACACCCTTGGTTTCTTCCACCTTGCTTTCATCAGTCAGCGTGACGCACATTTGCACTGGTTGTGAAACTCGGATGAAAGCAAGGTGGAAAAAACCAAGGGTGTCACAGCCGCGGTGGATGACGTCAAAAACCCGACTCTTCAAAGGGCGACAGCTCGGTTATTATCGAACGTACAAAGTTGCGGTTTGGACCAGTGTTCGAAACTCACCTTACAATTTTAGGAATCATGTGGCCCATCAAGCTCAATTTTTAGGGGTTATTGAAGATTTTTTAGGCGCCAAGTTGACTTTTTGCCTATACTTCACGGCGCATTTTTTGAAAAGTCAGACGCAAGATGTTTAAGTTACACAGAACTAGCAGCTGTAACTTGTAACTTTCGAAAAATCACCAAACAGGAAAATTAGAATTTTTTTTTGAGGGGGGGGGGAGCACTTTTTAGGAGCCACGTTGACGCAGAGCCTTCTTTTTTTAGGCGCCATGACCCATTTCTTAGGCGCATTTGGCGCGTTGGCGCCTGTGAGTTTCGAACACTGATAGAACCCCCTGTCTTCCACGGTCGTTGGGATTTCTGATTTTTTTTTTTTTATTTCTTTTTTGGAAAACACTTTTATGCATTTATTTTTTCAGAATGACTTTGACGTTCCTAAGCAAGTTCGAGTAAAAGACATTTCAAAATATATCGATTTAACCATCCGGCGTATCTTCAGGTGTCATAGAATTGCTGAGACATTTTTCGGTAAAAGGGCGTATGAGACTTCCAATGCTGCTAAGATTGTGCAACGTCGTTCTATGAATTTTTCCCTGAATCCGCTCCGAGTTTTTCTGCACAATTCTAAGGAAGTGAGTCGACTGTGAATGAATTTCATCTGCCGCAAACGCTATAAAAAATTGCACAATCTTAGCATCATTGCAAGCCTCATGCGCCCTTTTACCGAAAAATGTCTCAATTTTAACGTCAGTGTCTTGCAAAAACGTGTCGAGGTAATGTCAGGGAATTTCATTATCTAAAATGGGAACCCTGTCCAAGAGTGCTCTTTCGGTCGGTGTATCTTAAGTGCGGATTTACCGCGGTTTTCCGTTATCCGCGATCTTCCATTATCCGCGATCTTCCATTATCCGCGATCTTCCATTATCCGCGGTTTTCCACTACCCGCTGTTTTCCATTATCCGCGGTTTTCCGTTTTCCGTTATCCGCGGTTTTCCGTTATCCGCGGTTTCCCATTATTCGCGGTTTTCCGTTATCCGCGGTTTTTCATCATCCGCGCTAATTCCGGCCCCAATACCGCGGATAACCAGGGCTCTACTCATGGTAGCAACTGATATTTCTACACGACTTGGCACGTACAAGCAACAACTAATAAGATTGTTGCTTTTCTTTCAGGTGAGGATGCATCGCTGATGACATGCTGGAGCAGAGACAAAAATTGGCCGTCATCGGATGGATCGTTTTATCAGCCGTGATAACGACCGTGGGTGTCATCCACGTGCTCATAGATCCGAGGCTCCACTATGAAATCAAGGAAACTGTGAATAATTACGAGCTCTTGGTTGCTCAAAATGAGTCGTCAGCGTTGCCTCTGGACGAGCTGCCTGCGGACGAGGAATCGGTGCTCCTCAACATGACTGACTTCAAGTTGATCATCAACAATGAGGTCTGCAGGACGGCGACGGTGCAAGGGTCGCCACTCATTCTGGCTTTTGTCCACTCGGCGCCCAAAAACTTGAAGCTGCGCAACTTGATCAGGAGCACCTGGGGTCAGGAGTTGACGACCATCTTCCTTCTGGGCGAAACGACCCCCGCCTTGCAGGAAGCTATCGAAACCGAGAACTCGCTTCACCACGATATCGTTCAAGGTAACTTCATCGACTCGTATCGAAACCTCACGTACAAGCACGTGATGGGTTTCAAGTGGGCATCCTACCATTGCCCCGGTGCCAAATATTTGCTCAAAACTGACGATGACGTTTTTGTAAATGTGCTATTTTTAAGGAAATTCATAGAATCAAAACTGTCCCCTACAGGTGCTCGAAAATTAATCTTATGTGATATACAAGTGACTGTGGTACAACGTAGTTTTAGGTCCAAGTGGAGAGTATCCCCGAAGGAGTACAGTAAAAACTGGTACCCCCAAATATGCAAAGGCTGGGCCATTTTATATTCTCCTGATGTTAGCTTTCAACTCTATCATATTGCACGGAAGGCACCTTTCTTTTGGATCGACGACATTTATGTGTCTGGGATTCTAGCTCCTATGCTTAATGTGTCCCTGTCGTCAGTTTATCCTTTTGCAATACAGAGAGATAAGTTGAGTGGCCTCCTATCAAAACCATACATAGAGTCACAAGATGACTTCTTGTTTGGGTACCCGGGCGATTTGATCACAGAAATGAACAGTCTTTGGAAAATCGTGAAAAACACCACTCGCTATTTTGAGAGTTCTCAGCAAAATGAAACGATCGTCCAGTGAGTCGGAGATTAAGAATGTACATATCAGCAACGGTTGTTGCTTGATTAAAGTTTTGAAAAAACTTTGATATAACGTATTACTTACCTACATTGGATTTTTGTTCAGTTACAAACTGACTTATTTTTTAACGCGTTCAGATGAGTTTCTCAAGTGTTTCTGAAAGAGTTACAAAATATTTTTGTTTGCCTCATGACAGAATTCCTGCCATTTTAATTGGATCTTGAAATTATGTGCATTTCTGCTGTTTCTGTTCTTTAATCATTGCATTATTTTTATCATACTGTTTTTCCTTACAGCGTAACATTATCTGATAGCATTGGAACTCTCAAGATCACTGATCTTTAAAATTGTTTTTTTTTACTTGTAACTGATTTTCATTGTTTCCTAAGTATGTAAATAATAATTTTACGGTTCAAAAGTCTGCTGTGAATTGATTTCGGATGCCGATACTTCTCATTAATTTATTCTGCCTTCTATTCTATGAAAGTTCTGTTCATATTTTTCTGATTAAAAATTTTAGTTGAATACACTGGTAACTTACTGAAAATGACAGCCTATTTGTTAAGATAGAAGAAAAAGAAAAAAAAATGTAATGATTGATAAGACAACTTCTGGAGAAGTGATTCAGTAAAAGCTGAAACGAAAGAAATTTTTCTTATTTGTAGGTATTAGACTTTTTTTTCGAAGGATTGATATTTAATTTAATGTATGTTTAAAATAGTTTTAAAAATGTGATAATTCGGTTAATGAAATTAGCATTTTGGGGGTAGAGTGATAAAATATTGTTTTGTGGATCTATTGTCTTAAAGAGTCTTTAAAACAAAAAAGAGACTTGGCGAAAAGATTAATGTGCTTTAAGTAGTGATAAAAATAATTGGTGCTGATTCTTCATCAGTTTTAAAAGGTTTAATCCTGAATGTTCAGTGATTAGTGTTAGTTAATTGATATTAATTTCGCATTAATTTGTACGAATCTTTAAAGGTTGAATTTTAGAGTGGTTTTTTAAACTTTTTCTGCGGTATTGTTTCTTGTTTTTTAGAATGTTGACAACTAATTATGAGACAGACTGAGATCTTCCTTTCCAATTTCACTGAAATTAATTAGACACCACAATAATCCCTCCGAATTGCTCGTAATTTGTTTAAAGTTTGTGAATTTCTCCTCCGCTAAGTTCTTATTTTTTTCAATCGTTGTACATTTCTTTCTGTAGTAGGTAGTAATTTTTTTAAAGTGTCTTTCGTCAATTCATTTTCCAATCTACGTACCCCTTATGTTCTTCATTTATTTCTCCTGATTTTTTTATTTTTAATTTTTGCATTATCATCCCTAACACACAACTAAACCCTTCTCTCATCGGTATTATGAGACGAATTCCCTCAAAATGCAGGAGATATTCAGGATATTAAAAAGTCTGATAAAGAATATATGTTATTATTCCAGAGAGCAATCTCTCAGGCTAACATTGTAATTACTTTTTCTCTCTTCTTTTCAATGTATCTTCTTTAAATTACATTCTGTATAAATTTTTTGAACTGTCTTCCCCATTGTCATCATTCCATCAACTTAGTCTATTCAGAAGATCTGAAGATATTCTTTTTCCTCCTTTTTTTTTATTACTTGAAATATTCAATTATTTGCACTTATTTAAAGCCTCTTGTTGTGTTAACTCAATCTGTTCTGCATCTTCAGAAAAGTGTGTATCTCTCTTCTTTGGAAATAGGCAAGAAGAAACCCCAGTGTTTTTGCCAAATTAAAAAAAGTACTACCAATTTTTTTTAGTCTAAGCGATGGATTTATGTAGAATATTGTACCACATCCAGGGTGATATTTTTACAACTGAATTTTGGGAACAGATTTCGTTGGTGACCAAGGGCATGTATCTGTCTTTTTTCTTTCTTTTTTTTCATTTTTAGAGGTTTACCTTACTATCAAAATATTTGCTCAGTATTGGTATGTATTATGAATAGAAGTCTTTTTTATTTTTTTATCAAAAGTATGTTTTAATGTAGATATTTGAAATTACCTTAATTCGTCGTTTTTTGTGTATTAAATCGACTGGACCAAGTCTCTTGAACAGACTGGTCCTAATTCTTGCCATGAGGGCATAATTTTGTGATTTCGTAGGAAGGTTAGTTAATATATATTAGGTTAAGTCTGTAATCCGAAGTAAATCTCTACAAAATATTCATACCTAAGTCAGTTAAAATTCAATCATACAACAGGCACTATTCCAGAATGTAAACCGATTTCTTCCCTTTTTTTGTGTTGCCACTTTTTTCAGGTTGCTAACTAAGTATCATCATGCACTGTTCTTAAGAGCTATTTATGACCCTTAACTCAGTGGAATTTATGATAAAATTTGCTACTTTCATATAGGGGCTGATGAAATGTTAACAGTGAAACTGGAAAAATGCATATCTTGGTTGCAATGTTTCAAAATATCCACTCCTATTTTATTTTTGGAAAAGGAGACCAAACCAACATTATGGCTTAAAATTCTGGTAGAATCTTCTTTACTTAGAGGAAAAAATCGTGGAAGTTTCCAAGAAATAACGTTGAGTAGTTTCTCATGTAGAAAATAAAGTATGACAGGAAGTGTACAACGCCGTAAACTGAGGTACGCATTTTTGCAGTTTCACTATCGACTTGTGCGTACTTTGGCACAAAATAATGCGAAGTTTTGATTGCAAAAACAAGAAGATGTGTAACTTAATATTGTCCCACAGCGCAAAAGCTTGAGTCCAGAAAGGGTGGCATGATAAGTCTGAAGAATCACGACTCCATGTTAAAAGTGTCTAGTATGGCTCATGGTCTTTTGGATTTCTTCCTTTCCGCATCTCTTAATTTAAATAGCATAAAGGATTACTGTTTTGTTAACAGTGGCATTCAGTGATGGATCTGATTTTTTTTTGTATACTCAATAGATCTCAAGTGAAACTGCTCTCTAAAAAAACTGCTCTCCACTGTATAAAGTAGTATAAATTCTTCTTCTTTGTAACCTTTTGTGTAGATAAGTTTATGTAAGATTTGTAGATATAACAAGATTTAATTTTAGACATCCAGCCTTACCTTTTTTTATGAGTAATGTCTTCAACTCGCTGTTTATGTTGAATTTTGAGGAGTAAATACCCAGTGTTGTAGAAAGGTTTTAGAACAAAGGGGGCAGGAAGAAAAGCCATGCGTTCTCTGATAAATTATGAAAGTTGCTGTCTAAAAAATAAGTGAAGCCAACCAAAGTGAAAAATTTGCAAGAATATTTGTCCTCCATAAGTAATTCAGTCGATAATTATCTGATTCGACTATCAGTAGCTCTGGTTATCAATGGTCAAAGTGTGAGGCCACATATCTCCATATGCGACGTTGCAGACTTCCTGTCTTATTTCATTATCTACTTGGAAAACCTGGGAACGTAATTCCCTGGAAACTTCCTTGATTTTTCTTCTTTATCAGTAGAATATTCCGTAAAAATTTCAAGCTGTAAAGTTGAATTGCTCCTCTATTTAAAAAAAATAGAAAGCAAAACTTTGAAACACCTCAATGGAGATACGTGGTTCCGCACTTGGGCCATCGATGTGATGTTCTTTATGACCTTCGGAGCTTAATGAACTTTTAAAATCAAATTTCCTTTGTGCCAATCTCGAGAAAAACTGGGTTGAAAAGTGAATTTTCCGGCCTTCCCACACGTGTTCTCAAGTGGAGATGCGGGGCTGCTGTTACGTGTGGATAGACCTTGCATCCCAAGTTATCGTTTGGATGAATTTGATTCTTTTCATTTGTTTTATCTTAGAGGCCAAGAAAATAAAGCTCTTCTCGATGACTAATTAGATGCTGCAAAATTTACTCCAGAAAATGTGTTTAAAAATTTTGAAAAATTTGCTTCTTAGCCCCACTTTTTGCTAGATCGGCTTGTAGATAGTTCGAGTCTTGAATCTCATCATGCTCAGGAGGTTGTAAGGAATGTTGTATCAAGTAAAATTGAAATTCAACTGGCGCCAAATTTCTTTGTATTTTGTGTTGATTTTATTTGATTTAGTTCAACACAATTTAACTATTCCTCCAACCGATAGCAGAGGCTTCTCTATTGCGGTATTACATCATTGTTAAATTGTCGTTACATCAACCAATCGCAGCAGAGCTCAGTGGGCTGATTATTATTTAAAATGCATACGCATTCCACAATGTGTGCATAGTCCTTCAAAAACAGAAATTTTAGAGTTTTTTTGTTCTTTTATGTAGTTCTTGCAAGGCATTCTCTCTAAGGTATAGATTTGCTTTTTGCCCGTGTTTCTGTATCCACTCCTTTACCTTTGTGATTATGCAAGTATACTTCCAGTATTTCATTCCAATGGCTGTGTAAACTTATTCGATTTTCGAATTCATGTCTCAAACCTCTGTCTCACCATGTGTAAACTTGGGATGTGTAATCGATGAATTATGAAGAAAGTTTTAAAACTTTAAAATTGATTTCATGTTGTTTATAAACAGTTGACAAGAGCCCTTGATTTTATCATGCTCTTTCTCTCACTGAAAATTCAAGTATGGTTAAAAACTACTACCGTCTTATGTCGGTCCATCTTTATTTTGAAAATTTGAGCGAGATACCAGAATTACTTAAGAAGTTATAGTAGATGGGTAGGATTATCCCTACCAAAAGTATTTTTTTACATTTTTCCAACCCTCAAGCCAAATATTAACTCTTTTGTTCAGCATTAACGGAATAAAATTTGCAAAATGGCCAGATGTTGGTATCAGTTTTTTCCATTTAACAAGCATCTCCTATTATAGCTGTTGTCTTCTACTGTAGGAGTTGATGTCAGTTGTACTTTACACCTTTTTTGCAATTGTTTTAAAAGCTGATACCTTTGAACAAACACTTCAGTTCATACTAGTTGAACACCTAGTATGTAGTTAATTTAGAGCAAGTATAAATTGACATTCACCAAAATCATATCATGCTTACCAAAGACATTTGATATTATTGTAAAAATAGTTTGTTAACCAACTTGTTGTGCTATGTTTAATATTTAAGAGAGCATTTCAACCATGATAGAGACATCAAAGTTGAAAAATTTGCAGGATTATTTACCGCCAAGTGCACTCCTTTAAAATTCTCAAAAATAAATTAGTTCTTACAAATTATGTCTGAAAATTCCCCCGAAGACACATCGGTTCCCTCCAAATTGAAAAGAATCATATCATCATTAAATGTCAATAGAATGTTCTCACACTCAGGCATCTTGATTACTTTGAAGATTTTTCAAGAAAACTATAGTGCCATATTAGAGTCTTGCTCTTTGAAAAGGAGGGAATAATCCATAAACCAAGTAATGAATCATCTGAAATTATAGATGAACAAAAGAGAATCTAAAAAAAAAAAAATATTCGTATTATTCATGTTTAGTTCAATGCGTTTAGTGTAAGTTTGTTATCTAAATTGTAACTAATCACCATTGTTTGTAAAAAATCTAATCTTTTATTCTCTTTTAAGTAATTTAGTGCTCAAGCAAGTAATGGGTTTGTTCAGTCATGCAAAATTTTTCTGCCCCTATCTTACTTAAGTGTTTAACCATTAAAGCGCTGTTGGCTTCAGCTCCTGGCCCATTCATCTCTCTCTTAGCTTCAACCTAACATTTAAATAGTCTCATTCCTCTGAGTCATTGTGAAAATTTGATTGAGAATTTTACCCTGGTCTTCATGGTGTAGTCCATTTATTGAACAGGATATGTACATGTACCCAATGGCAATGTTTCAAAATCTTGTTCCTCCAATTATGACTTTCCAATGAAACTCAACAAAATTTTATATTATTAACAGTTTTCAAAGGAGATCCTCCTATGGACAGATTAAGGAAGAATTATCTCACTAGTTTTAAGAGTTTAAACGATAGGCTCGTATCCCTCGATGAGAATAAAATTAATTCAGGACTCTCCCACAATCAAATCAATGCATCGGTTTTTTAATTTCCACATTGAAACTTGAGGAAAAGTTACAGTTTAAGCCATCATAATCAGACGATACATATCCTGCTGTGCTGTATTATAGACAATAAGGGGCCATTTCTGTATTGTGTAATGCCCACAGGGGGAGAAGGAGATGAGTTGATCGGTGTCTTAGAAATGAGGAAGTAGCATTTTACCCAGCTCTGCATAATGATTCAAATTTAAAATGATGTACCTATACATTAAACCTCAGATTATCTTAGCTATTGTGGTGGTCGGCCATTTCGGATAACGCTGAGATCACTATGATGGCCTTCATTTGACACCCAGTATTCGCGAAATGTCTTGAGGTGAACATGAATCGGGAATAAAATGCTGTCTAAAATATTTACAACTAAATACACAATCTAACATATGACATGCCTGTTCTAAAAGATCTGTTATGTCTTTTTGTTGTTTCTGGCCTCGGAAGCCACAATAGGTTTACACTGACTGCCGAAAGAGAAGACAAAAAACTGGTAAAAAAATCAGTCTTACCAAAAATCAATTTGGATAGTCTGAGGTGTAGTGTACATCATTTATGGGTATTAGGACATTCTTGGGTTAAAATTGATCAAAGAAAATAGATGAAAATGGGGAGTAGGTAGGGTTGAAAGTTGGTTTTGCATTACAGGTGTGTAATGCTTCTAGCGAAAGACCCCGTATCTCATATAATAGCAATAGTTGAATTGTTAATTATTTACGTTCATTCTATGGCATGCTGTGTGGTTTCAAAGTCTTACGTTAATTATCAGTCTTGCAATGACATGGATAATAACCCACTGTTACTTCGTCAATTTCAAGAAACTCTGAGAAAGTATCTCTTGGATTGTGTATTGGAATCTGTTTTGTCACTTTTGAGGATACTTCATGTTCAACGACCTTGTTCTTTTTTCTTCCGTCTTTTTTTAAAATACTTTTTAAAACTCCATGACATGTTTTATCCTTCAGCTCTTATCTTATTGTCTCTCATGTATAATGTTACTTACCGAAATAGATTTTTTATAGCATTTAATTCTTAAGTTTGTGTTGAACTTTATTTTAATAATAAAACGTATCTTTCCTCAAGATATATATAATTCAGTTCTCGTCTTGAGGTACAGTTTTCCCTCACAAGGTGATGATAAAACTGCGGAAACGTGTATCTCGGTCGGGTTTGCATTTCTGCAGAATTCTAGTAATTAATTAATTTTTTAAATAGAAGAATTATCTACTTATACATCATTTCTTGAAAACTTCGCCCTGATTTTTTCTCTCTTTTTTTCTGTGTTAAGAAAATTCTTGAAAATTTCAAGCGAAACACTGCCGACAAGATACTTGCTCTTGCAGTAACCCCGATGTGGGGTCTCACCAACTGGGAAAACAGGAGAAAACCCAATTATGAAGGGAAAAACCATGATTAACACAGAAAATTCAGGAAAAAACCCTATACACCCTGGGAGATAAGAAACGTGTGGTAAGTTTTCAAGAAAACAAGTTGCTTAGGTTTTCAAAGAAAAAATAAAGAATGACAGGAATTCAGCAGGCCATAAACGGTAGCACGTCATAACGTCGTTTCGCACTTTGGTTATCGATCAATGCTCATAAAACGTTTTAGTCATTATACAGTGACTATAGGCACTTAGACATTTGCAGGGGGGTAATGTGGAGGAACGTCTTATTTAGAAGACCAGGGAGCAGCAAAAAGCTATACCTTGGATAGGTATGAAGGATAAAAAAAACAGCCACCCTCAAATTTTTGACTCAAGCAGGGTGTCAACCGTTAAAAAAATTGAGGGTCTCAACTCTGATGCCCTAAAATCCTGCTTCACCTGCTTGAAATTACTTTTAAGACATCACCTCACCAATTTGGAACAAAATTTTGAAGAGGTAGATGAAAGACGGCCTGGGCCTTAGCGTGCAAATTGGCTCTTGAGAAATAAAGCATCTGTGGTCTCGGTTTTGATTTGTGGACTTAATACTGAAACGTAACCAACAAGAAAATGTTATTTCACTTGTCATGACATTTAAGTGTCCGTACTCAGAATTCGTCAGTGTAATCAAAGCTATATTTCACACGAAAGAGAATCATATGAAAGCTTTAATGAGGGCCTCTGAGCATTGAATAACTTTCTGAGCTCAAGAGCATGCCTATTTTTCAATATCTTACTTTGAATTACTTTATCTTACTTATCTTATCTTAATTTTTTTTAAGCAAAAACCTTTGCATCAACCTTAAAAATTTAAGTATTTTCTTTTGTGATGATAGAAACTATTGATTCAAAGATTATATGGACGTATTATACTAAAAGGGCCTATGTGCATAGGGTTTGCGTGCAACATTGTTCCGTTTAGAATAAACAATAAACACATCACTTTGACAATTATTTAAAATTTGGAGGAAAAAATGGAATGTGGGGGCCTTGTAAGAGCCTTTTTGCACCTGCCCTCTCAATTTCAATCAAAAAGAAAAAAATAGATGAATAGTGTCCCCAAGTGGCACAAAGCAAAGAAAATATCGAAATAAAATTTTAATTTAATGTGGTTAAAAAGCACTTTCTTTGTCATAAAATCGCAATATTTTTACGTTTGGTTAATAAATGCCGATTTTTAACGATCAATGAGGTGAGCACCACGAATCAGAAAAAGATAGGCAATTTGCAATGCAAAGAAAAATTGCAACTAATTTCGATTATATTGCAATAAGCAGTGCCTCTTCAATTTGTAGATAGGCAACATACACAACACTCCGATGCAATTGCAATAATGGGATCATATTTGGCAAAAAGGAACCAGTGCAATTACACTGTTGTAAAAATGTCGCTTCTTCATAATAATTCTCGAAAAATCTCTCAGAATAGCAAATAGTTTTTCCTTTCCACCAATAACATGTTAATTTTGAAGGAAAATGATGGTGTAAGTTTTAATACTTATATTGAGTATTTTTACAAGAACAGAAGAAGTTGCACGATTTTGAGAACACTGTAATCGCGCTGGGTCCTTTTCCCTAAATGCGATGCACTTTGACTACTATATGGTATAACAATTTATTGCCATCTATGCTACTTGTGTTGTGAACTTCAGGATCGAGATGAGGAAGGAAGCTGACAAGAGAGAAGACAAATTCGATACAGAGGGATTTAATCAGGGATTTTACTGAGAGATGCCTACCCGACATTAGCCCCGGTGGCTGGGCGTAAACAGTAGTCATACTGACAAGATTCAGTATACCTGACATAATTCGGCATTTTTACATACATAACTTGATAGTGAAATCCATCTCAGTAATCCTTGTATATTCACAGCCTAGAAGTTTCGTTCCTTATCAAATGAAAGGTGATCAGACACATTTTCTTGATCCTCTTCGGTACCGATTCTTTGTTTAATTCATCTAGATTTTGGGACTTTCATCATCTCCTTCAATTCCTTCTCCAGTTTCACAATTTTCTTGAACAAGTTCTTGTGCCAAACATCTCTGGTCATCTTCCTGAGCTCTTTGTTGATCGTAGATGAGTTTAAGTTGCAAAAGTAAATCTGCCAAATTTGTACCATATTTTGCAGAGATTGGAATCACCTGATTGTCTGGATACTTATCCATCAATATCTTAAGATTTTCCTTCGATTCCGCCATATCCACTTTGTTGGCAACAATAATTTGTGGTTTTTCGCACATTCTTTCATCAAACTTTTCCAACTCGTAACGGAGCTTCTTCAAAGTATCCCATGGTTCAGGGAGAGCTGTGTCAATTACCATTAACAGTCCAGTACAACGTCTCGCATGTCGTAAAAATTGTATTCCAAGCCCTTGGTTCTGATGAGATCCCTCTATAATACCAGGTAAATCTGCGACAGCTACTTGTTCAAAATCTTCGTATTCGATAATGCCCACATGGGGTTGAACGGTGGTAAACGGATATGGTGCTATTTTGGGCTTTGCTCTGGAGATGGCTTGTAACAAAGTGCTCTTGCCAGCATTTGGAAAACCCAGCATTCCAAAATGTGCAATACTGGCAACTTCAAGGATGTATTTATAATCCTCTCCTTCACCTCCGTACTCCGCAATCTTTGGTGCTTGAAATGTATCAGTGACAAAAAAATGATTTCCTTTACCTCCAGCGCCACCTCGGGCTGCAACAAACATTAAGCCATCTTCATTCAGATCAGCCACAATCTTGTCTTCCTTGTTTCTGACTAGAGTTCCAACAGGAACGGGTACTATAGTGTGTGAGGCATTCCTTCCATTGCAATCCCTATTGTAACCCTTTTCTCCATTATCACCTCGCAGGACGGAGGGCACATGATGCAAATCTCGAACACCATCTGTTGCTTGAAAAATAACGTGTCCTCCATGCCCGCCATCACCACCATCTGGTCCTGCACGTGCTTTGGACCAAGCACTTAAAAACGAAAGAGCGCCGTTTCCTCCATTACCGGCGCAAGTGCGAACAACTTTCACATCCAGAAATCCTCGTGTATTATCTCTTATAGATTTCCTTTTTTTGGGCCGCAAAGCTTTGGCTACAGTTGTCGAGTATTTGACATTATGTCTGAGATTTGATGTAATCCATATGCCTAGGATGGAGCGAAGGCGGTCACTCAACATGTTTTCCTAGCGTTAGGTTAACGTTGCGTGAGACAGACTGAAAAATGTCAGATAGACTTGACCGCAATAGATAGACTTACTGCTAAACTTGAAGTAGTTCTGACTGACTGTCAGGACAAAATGACTTTTTCTTGACAGTTAGAAACTGAAAGGCGCAGCTTGACTCCAAGACATGACTAGATCTTGTGCGATGAACAAATTCAATTCACAACCATTAACTTGACCGGCTGACTTAATGAAACAAAGACCTGATGTACTGAACAGTGATCAATGATTATTATGACATGAGATGCCAAAGAAGCCACACAATTTGGCTCTGCCGTCTCTGCACGAAGCACAACAAACATGAAACAACATGGACTTAGAGGTTATGTTCTATTGTTGACATGGGATAGGATCTAGACAGAGTATTGAGGGTAGCCTACCCGCTATGGAGCTAGGTGCTGCCATGTTGCAGGCATGATTCACTAACCCTAACGAGTAGGAAAATTGAGTGAAATATTCTTTTGTGTAATTCAGACCACCTGTCCATGCTTTTTCCTTGAAAATCTTAGGTTGCATGAAGTCGGGAATAGCTTGATGATCAAGGAATTGACTAGAAGGCAGTCGGAAATGAAGGTTCCCCAGCCCCCACCTATCGGATACCCTTCAGGTATGCCGATCAGGCTTTGAGATGATGAATTAAGATTCTAGAAAGTTAATGACTGACTAGTTGAGAGCATGTTACAAGTGGCCTGGAATATTCCGTAAATGATAAAGTTGGCAGGTAGTCGTTTCGATGCAACTTGTCTTCTCAAATTACTCATTCAAATAAGAGAAAAATTATCTTTATTTCAGACTGGAAATTCGTCGGATGAGATCAATCAGGAAAATAGCCAAAGGAGCATATTAAAGATTTTTTTTTTCAAAATCAAAAATTTCGAAATGCGTTACATTTAACAGAAGGAGGCTGAGGAATACTTACTTTAGAGATGATTGAGTTGTGTGAATTTTGACCTTAATATTATAATGTTTTTCTTCAGCCAAAAAATTCTAGCCGACTAAGAATTCGTATAGCTAAAACATAGCGATGGCGTAAGTCCGCAATCACATATCTCGTTTGCAGTGCCTAAAAATCTCCGCCTCTATGTTATTTTTTTAAAGGAGAACAAATTGACATCATTCTTAGAAGTTAATATGCAGAATTTTCTTCGCACGGAGAAGAAAAATCACGGCAGTTTTAAAGAATTGCCGTTTATAAAGAAAAGTATGACAGGAAGTCTGCGACATCGCGCAAACCGAGTTATGTGATTGCCGACTTACATCATCGATAAGTTTTAAAACCCTTCTCTCAGTTTTGACTTGATGTATGCTAGGTTTTTTCCCGATGATTCAGTTGAATCTTGTTCGAAGATCTTTTTGCATCCGAGAAGCTGATGCTTCATTTTACTTATTTTTCAATCATGAGCTGAGCTTTTTACCACACTTACAACCCCTTTGATAGGCTTTATGCATAATGCTATCTGTATAGTCAAGGAAAATCATTTTACTTTCATTTTAAAAAAACAAAGTTTTATTTAAAATTATGTGGGTACAGGCTGCATTCAAATGAAGACAGAAGAGTTTAACTTGAAGAGTCAAATTAACAAGCCGTGTTTACAGAGGGCCAACAAAGTTATTGGAATTTTTAATGCAGTAAGGTGGTAAAATTTTGACACAGGTTAAAAAAACAATGAATAGATTAACAGCTATGGCACTCCTCTTCAGACAATTCAACAGATGCAATTATCTCTTGTCAATTAGACCACATTAAGCAGAAAAGAACCGAGGCACATAAGCTATTGCCAAATTTAATTGGGCATTTTAATTTTTCACATGAAAACGGTTGTGCAGATTTTGGAGCAAATTTCAGTGAATTGCGTGCATAGCAAGAAACCAATTCCTAGAAATTTTCAAAGGAATCCGCACAAACGTTCTCTTGTAAAAAATTAGAGTGCCCAGTTACATTTGGCAATAGCTAATGTGACTTGGTTCCTTTCTGTTAAACGCAGCAAATCAGAGACAGATTTAATGAAAGCTAAAACAAGAGAACAGATGTTTTCTCATGGGATACTGATAGCAACATTGTTGCGATGAATCTCTGATATTACTCCACTTGAAAATATTATGGGGACAGTTTGAACGATTTCACAGAAGGGAAAGAAAAAAGCTTCATCCTTCCATACAAACTCCAAAGAAAAAGGCAAATCCAGGAAGACTTTAGTAATTGCAATGCAACTTTGCCAGGTTTCATCTAAAAACTGATTTTTTTTTTTAATTGAGAGGGAATCTTTGTCGAACCACATTTCAATGAAGATTTACAGCCAAATTTAAGTAAAGAGCTAAATACAGTTTCAAGTGAAAAATAGCAATGTTGCAATGTAACTAAGCCCTTTCGTATCTGAACCTCTAACATAAATATATATTTTATAAATTATAATTTTCTTCTTCCCTTTAAATGTGAATACTTAGCTTTTTTTAAGTAACATATATACTGAAAAAAAAAAAATCGGTCAGTCCACAGCAAGGAACAATGAATAGTTTTATAATAGAATGAAATTGGCTGCACTCATTAACATTGAAAAAAGGTTTTACAATGAAGATTCACTTTTTATTGCAAACTTGCACATGAATTAATCAGTATACTTACAACAGTATTGTAAAATATAAGAAAAACAAGAAACCTAGGAACACGACCATAAATGATGGGTCCGTAAAGCATGTCTTCAACAAAAGTGAATTGATGATTGAAATTTCAGTTTTTAATGGTGTTTATAGTGCAACATCATTAAAAAGAAACTGTATTAGGATTAGAATTAGGTGTTTTTCGAGGCCTGCAGTTTGGCAGCAACACATTGTTGTACAAGCACATTGAAGCATAAATAGGCTAAAAATTTGCTGTTAAAAGCTACCAAATCAGCCAAAATTTTCATTGATTTGTCATCAATTGAAAAAACAAACTTTACTAAATTCTTAACACCATCTAAACCTAAAAGCTGGTGACAAGAATTTTGATTTCTCCTTCCATCTTTCAACTGGTTTATGATTTGTTCATCGTTGTGGGGAAGGAGAGTTTGATTACTATCAAGATTACATAAAGACAACATTTTTACAAGAATTGAGTGTCAAAATGACAAGGTGAAAATGAGATATGATAGTTTCACTTCAAATTTTGCGCGATAAAATTTGATTTTCAGAGGAATTAATCTGAGTTTACTTTAAACACTGTTCCCGAACCTTTTATTTGACTGATGTACGTCATAAAAACAGTGCAGTAATTACTCAACGCAGTAATGAATCCCAACTGACATACCATCATGTTATCTTATGGATACCCAAAAATCAATTCTTTATCAAACTCTTAAAAATATCAGCTTGTAGATCTGTTGTTGCCATTTAGATAGAAATTTTTTCTGATTTTTGCAAATCGCTGACTTGGTTACCTCTTTCCGATGAAAATTCAAAATTCAGCTTATTAGACTAGAAATTCCGAAAAAATGAGTTGCTTTAGATTGAATAAATAAGCAGAGGAATGAAAATTCTACTCTCTTTGACAAAAGAGTCATGTTAAAATGAGTCAATAGGTCTTCACGCGAGTCAAGTTTTTATCAAGTACTTATTTATTCAATGCTAATAGCTCACTATTTATGAACTCATTCACTTACATAAGAGCTACTTTAGCCATGCTCTTGCTACATTCATTGATAGTGGCCGAATTTGAAGATGTTCCTAAAAATGTCCATGACTTGGAGCCTTTCATATGAGATCATGACTTCCTTCACGGCAACCTGGATCAAGTCTCAAATCGAAAATTCTACGATGAAAACGAAATTTTGTCTCCCTGTTCGATTTGCTACAGCTTCCATTTAATGGTTAGAAATTTGAAGAGCTTAGTTGAGCATCGTATGCCGGTCGTAAATATTCTTGCGCTGTTCTTGAACTTGCCTCTTCCACTTATCCTGTTGGTGACCCACGCGGTTCAATACATTGCTTCCTCGCATACCCATCGGGTGAGAAGTTCCAGGCGCTTGACTTGAACTGCTTATATCATCCTGCAAATTTCCACAGTCTAATTAGTTACTGGTTAAAATAAAATCATGATATTGGAATGACTAAAATGGTGACTCATTTAGCGTGTAAATCATGTATAATATTTCAGATGTTGGAATCTTCGAACACCTGTCCATTATTCGACAGTAGACTAGCTGATAAAGTGACCGTTGAACCACTAAATATGAATTGGCTTGCCACTTGTCACTCTTACTTCTCAAAGGTAGATTGCATTTCATGGCAGACTGAGATACGAAAAATTGTTCTTGACAATTTTATAAGGTACGGCATATTTAGATAAAATTCTTGAAAAATTCATTACAACTGAAGATGGAGACGTTAACATTTCTTTCAATTCAATGGATAGAATGACCTTAAAAGTGAAAATTACATTTAACCTCAGATTATTATCAAGAGTAGGGTTGAAAAAACTTCTAACCAGCTCCAAATCGAAAGGGTCAGAGCCAGAGACTTAATGCATTGCAATGTGGCCAGTTCCATCTGACAAATTATTTCTTTATGTATTATCAAATTGAAAAATTTTGGTTTTTAAAAAATATCCTGAGCCTTTGTGAGGTCATACTGTCACAAAGCAAATTAAATACCAGAAGTAGAAAGAAAAAATTTACTAGTGTCCATGAATAAATGAATAAATTGTTGTGAGAGATTTTGCGATTAAGCAGAGGCATTCAGCTCCTCTGACATGGACTCTTTCAATTGGTGTCGTTGACCTGCGGCCCAATTATTGAAACTATGTTGGCCCAACACAACAAGACATAGCCTTATCTTGACCATGCAATATATCGCAATTCGATTTCTTATAGGGCTGCTTTAGACTTTCAATAATCAGCCCGTTGGAGGTAGTGAAAAACTCCCTTTTTCATATGGCATACTTTACAGCATCTATTTCGGCTTCATGACCAATATCAGTATCCATGGCTAAAGTGCGAAAATATGTATCTTCAATTACAACATTGTAGATTTCCTGTCATACTTCATTTTTTCTTCAAAAAACTAGGCAATCTAATTTCTTTAAAACTTCCTTGGTGTTTCTCCTCTATTAGCAGAATACATATTCTGTAAAAATTTCAAGCCAAAAATGTGGCTTGTTTCTTTTAGAAATAACATATTAGGGGTAGACATTTTGAAACAACCCAATGGAGGTACATGGTTTTGCACTAGGGCCATCAATATTTCAGTTAAGAATTAAAACCTTTCAACAAAATTTCTTAGAAGTTCCATCTTACAGAGCAAAACTTAGACAATTTTGTCTCCTCCAAACATGTCCCTTCGAGTCATTTATGAGTTAGAAAACTGCCAAATATGAAGAAAAGCTGTCTAAAAATTTTTCATGTTAGATGGCATCAATGACACAATTTCATCATTCAAGATTTTTATTTTTAATTCCTTTCTTCACAACCAGTTCCTCTCATTATTAACAGCGATTCCTGAGTGTTGCTAAGGAAGTCTGAGTTTTTCATTAAAAAAAAGTAATTCAAAATAAATAAAAAAAAGGGTCTTACTTCAAAGCTACTTACAATTATTTTGAACTCTCGGCTACTTACATCGTCGTTCGTGTGTTCAACATAATTTCCCTTGACTCGTTTGTTTAGTAACGGGTCCAGACAAATAAGGAAAAGCATATAGATTACTAACAAAGAAATGACCCATATTACAATTATGACCACAAACTGCAAAAAAAAAGACAAGAGTAAATCATTGTATTATAAGAACATGTAGAAAAGTCAATGGAAATTTTGTTATGTTACTTTTAAAATAAGTGAAACATTTTCTTTCCGTACTGCGAAACTTACTGTATTTAGAAGATAATAAAATTGTACATTTGCTTTTGATTGTTTCGGTTGAATGGTGGAAAAATGAACAGAACTCTCGTCCCCCCACCCCCAAAAAAAGAACAAAAGGAACAAACTGGTCGAGTGGGTAAAATATACAAGACAACACTAAATAAATTAATGAATAATTGATGATTTGAAGCAATACTTTAAATTTGCAGGAAAAGTTAAGAAGAGATACAATTCAAGACACTTGGCAAGCTCAATTTTCCATTCCTCTGTTGCCAGCCTTAAATGTCAGATAAGATTTTCTAAGTTGTCACTAATATTTCCAGATCTTTACAAAGAACAATGGGCTTGGAACATGTCGTCCCTTTCTATGAAGAATATCACAGGCATCAAAATGTTAACTTCACAAGTAACCCAGAAGACTGATTTGCCATTGCTAGAAATGTTATTCTACCTTGAATTTTAGCACATAGAAATAGGATATGTCTACTACAAAAAACTGCCTAAGGGTTATGAAGAAAATTACTTTCACTTGAAAAATTAGCCTTAGATATACACTGCCGATTGCAGCTCCCAGCCTGGTGGCAGATTTAATTGGCATAATGCATGTTTCATGGCAGAATGCTTGCTACCATCGCCAAACTTGGTGCTTGCGATACTTTTCCTCAAAAATGACTTTTGTCATATTTGTCAATTACCAAATAAATGAGTATGTTTGACATGTACAACCAAAAATTGGCCTAACTCATGCATTCTGGTTATGCACAGAGCCTGAGATGGCAATTTTTCAGTCATTTGTTGGTGGTTTTGGTTATTACTTACTTTGATAATGTTTGTGTTCCTACTTTCATAAGTACACTCACATCGAGAGCACATTTCCTGTGTTGTGTTCCCATGCACAATTTCTTCAACGGGACCAGCGACTTCATCACAGTCACTGCAGTTAGAAAATAAAATAAAGGTATTATAAAAAGATTATGGCATCTGAGAAAATATGCATCAGGCCTCACTAATTCACCATTTTAAATGTTACTGACCCAAAGAGCTGTAATAGGACTGCATTTTGCAATTAGGAACTATAATTTTTGGCTCAGTTTAAATACAACGTAAGTGCTATTAGTTTCCCTATGCACATGAGTGTTTTAATGGATGAGCCAAAAATTTTAGTTCCAAATTGCACAGTGTAATCAAATTTCAGAACTGCGTCCGCCCAGTCGCAGGGACGAGGTCACCCCCAATAGGCTCATAGTTCTTGCTCGTGTTTGCTGCTGGCTGGTGCTGATTTCAACCCTAGCAGGTAACGGATAGGTTCTTTTTCATTGGAATAACTCAAAAACGAAAATAAATTTACTTGATAGAAACTTTAAAAATTAATTCTCAGGACTTTCCTGAAAGAATTGATGGGTAATAATATGAACTTTATCTTATTGTATATGAGAATTTTTTTTGAAAATCCTTAAATAGTAGTTAGTGGTAGGAAAATGACTTATAATGCATTTTGCTTTTTGCCACTGTCCATCATTTTAAGGATTCTCATGTGAGATGTGAAAAAAAAGTCGGACTTCTTGCTCATCTATCTTTTCAGAAACTATTCTTTATTGAAGCTTCTCTTGCAGTTTTGCTGCCATCAGCCATAGGAACAAGGATGAATAAAACTTACTTGCTGAGAGGGACACTGGTAACACGTAATTTTTTTACAAGCCTTGTTCCATTTTTATAAGTGCATACACATTTGCATCGTGCATCTTCGTACGACTGACCCTGAAAGAAAAAAAATGGAGGAAAAGATCAGGAGTGGATTCAGAGTTAATCTTGACTTAGCATCAAATTTTGTGGCCCTTCATATTGCGAAGGAAAAGATACTGTGGTCAAGGGGTTACAGATTGGATTTCTGACAATGGTGAAGACTAAAAATGTTTCCCTGCATTACACAACTAAGATGCAATGAGGCAAAATCACCTGGCTCTGAATCTATACGAGTCAAAACTGATGTTTCTTAATCACCTGCGGGCTTCAGTGTCTAAAGACGCTGTTAATGCTACGTCACAGAAAAGCGATATATATCAATTTTTTTGAATTGGTAGAATTGAAAGAGGTTATGGCAATGTTATTGTTTGGATCCAATTCGATATAATAGCTGCATTGTCGAAGTAAACTGTTTGGGACCGTTGCCCAACAGAATTACCCGATTCCCAATGCTCGGCGTTGTTCGACTCCGTTTGGATTGCCCGATGTCCTGGACTGTTTACCAAACGGAAGTCAACAAGTCATCGGTCTCGGGAGGTAGTTGAGAGCGTTGAGCTAACCTCTAAATGTAATTGTGCACACCGTGTGCACTCAAAACACAACAGTTTTTAGTTGATAGAGACAACCGACAACGCGTTTCCCAACAGGTAAGTTAACGGTCACGTGATATCCGATAGCGTCAGGCACCCAACGCAAACGGAAAGTTCACTTCGACGACGCACCTATTGGAGAATCCCTATGATGACGTCGCCACTAATAGCGTCTATAGTTAGGATCTAATCTCTAACATATGCCGCCCATTGTTACTAGAACTAGGTAATATACTTAGTTCTAGTAACAATAGGCAGCATATGTTAGAGATTAGGTGGCCAAGCAGTAATTGAGATGTTTCAATTCTGCACATGGTTGGTGAAGTTTGACTTCACAGTGAACGTATCTGAGAGTACTTGATGCATCTTGCATGGGTACACATGTCTCAAAAAAGGTAAGATCAGAGAGAATCAAGCAAGTTGTTTCTTGAACACAGCGGAGGTTGTATTGTCCAAGTAAATTACAGAGGTCAAATTTATCAATTAATGTTCCAAAGTGAAAATTCGCCTGTCTAAAATTTTCCAAATTTTACAAAATAGAAATTTTCGTGTTGTAAAAGATAAATAAATCTGACAGACAAGATTAATCTCCCCATTGAAGCTCACCATGATGATAGAGGGTTACACAATGTCGTAAGCGCTTGTACCTGGGTTAAGGGAAAAAACTTGTATTACCTGTACGTAAAGAACACATGACAAGAGGATAACGCCAAATACGAATAACTGATGAAAGGAAAGAGACATTCTGAATTAGAATATCATAGTAAAACGAGAGAGAAATCCATTGAAAATCAAAATTTGCCTCTGGTGTTTACGCGAACTGACGTATCTCGTATTTACGTTTAACCGAGGCATAGACCAATATAGACATACCTCAAATAAAAGTGGGTACTCGCATCCGAAAATAGCTTGTGTTTACTGTTGTTGTCAGTCTGATTTTCCTTAAATTTTAGTCAATTTTTCAGTTCCATGCAGTTTACACTTTAATGTTCTGGTCTTCTGACTTGCACAGCTTTAGAAAAATTTCAAGGGAAATGTTATCAAGAAATTCCCCCAAGAAATCTCAACAGTGGTTTACCTATGAACAAGTTTTCGCGCGCTTCAGATTGCGTTTTTGATTGGTTGATCTGAGTACCCTATTTATCATGCGTGAAAGACTGCCGTCACAATGACAGTCCGTGATATTCTCCTCTGAGCTAGAGTTTTTCCTGTTGTTTTCCTAATCAGTTGAAGTTGAATCCTGCGAATTTTTGTGAGCGTAATTGTGATATTGCACTCGTGATTTTCCAATTCGGTCTTCTGCTTCTATTTCTTGCGAAGAAAAAAAGAAAAAATGGCTTGGTTGCCACTGGAATCTAATCCCACCGTAAGTAAAAATTCAATAATATCCATACCATTTCCCTCAGATGGTGAGATTTAGTGAACGAATCCTGATTTATGAGCAACTAACCTACAAAGACTCGCCGGCTGGAGCTTCATCTAACCGTTCATCCACCCATGCCGGAAGCAGATCCAATATTTAATTAATTTTAGACGGTCGGAACACTCTTTCTCCTACAGCTTCTAAAATATTCTTTTTTACGTATGAAGTCATCCATCTCAATGGCTAACATCCATCCTCCTTAAAGCGCGTTCAGATGGTATGCTGAGTTGTTTGTCAGCTGCCTGACGTGCAGCTTTACAGGCCACTTGACGAGCCTAGAGAATAGGGATCCGAGCCTTCCACCGACGCGCTCCCTATCTTCACTGTTGAAAACGTTTGACGGAGGGCTCGTTGAACTGCCCATCGAGCTGCTTGTCATGCTGTCTGAACGCGATTACTGTTTTCTAAGGACCAAAATCCTTGGACTCGTGTAACTCTGTATGACATTCTCAAGGGAGGATGTGGGGCTCTAAAAGAGCTGTGAAGGAGAGTTCCAACTTAAATAAAATAAGTTATTCCCAAGGACCTCGAAATTCCTGTGAAGATGCGCAACTCAAATGCTCTGACCGGCGAACATTTTTTGCTTTGATATTAATCAAGGTTGATAGACCCAGGTCAATTCGTTGAAAAGTTGTTCTTTGGAATATCCGGATCTGGCAACTGATGCCCCCCATTGACTTTCACTTCTTTCCAACGTCGGGCGGGCATTGCCCTCCCATCTGCCTAAGACCAATGTCATTGGAATCGGGGGAACATCAGAGTGGGCCAGGCATATCATGGAAATTCTTTGGCAACACAGATAGCCCTTGCCGTTGTTTTCCAAGGATTGTCACAATCAACTTTCCCAACGAACTGACCCGGGTCTACCGACCTTATTTACCCATGAATAAGATACAAGTACTTACTGACAACAGGGTTTAACAACTATCGTTCACTTCAAAAATGTCATGCATCTAGCTTAATCATCCAACTCAAAGAATATCTTCTTAGTGAAATTTTAAACAAATTCTTTTTTGTTCTTTTTCAGGTAATGAACAAGGTATGTCCGACTGTGGTGATATGGCTGGCCCTGTCTTTCATTGTAGCTCATGTTCTACATTACATTCACAATGCCAATTGCCATTGCAATCCTTCTCATCAAGCCTCTGAAGCTTATGCTGATAAGTTCCACACAAATACTATGATTACTTTCTTATTATCCAACAGACATGCATTCAAGAAGCATGAGTAACTAAGTTTGTCAAAATGTTCTTAGAACAAGTAGTAAAGTAAACAGAATTATTAGATAAATATTTTTTTAAAGCATCTGTTTTACCTTACAAGCCAGGTCATGGCCCACTGTTTAATTTTAAGTGTAATCTTTCACGTTTTTATTTTTGGTATTTTAAAATTGGTTCCAAAGGGCTGAAAAGAGAATCATCTACTTTAATGAAAAGATTATAACATGGCTACTGTGTTCTCCCTTTCAATGGAAGACCACCAGGCATTTTTTATTGAACATTTCAGAGACTTTTTTGTGGATTACTTAATGTTGAAAATCAGCGAAAGTTTGGACAGAATTGAAGTGCTGCGTGCAGAGAGGGCATTTCTTGGTTGCGGTGTCTCAGAATCACCACCAACATTTCATCCATTAAAATTAAAGCAAATGTATGGAATTCGCTGAGACTTTTACTAAATTTTCTTTTCAATTTTACAATTATGATACCGAAACATTTTAGAAAATTCACCCTATTGTTTCCACTCTAAAATATGAATTGGCAGTGGAGATTTCAAGACACCACAACCAATAAGTGCCCTTTTTGAACCCGCAGCCTCAATAGTATTATCATCATTGTGTGAAAAACGAATCGTATTCGTAAATGTCCATTTTTCTCGGAAATAACAATATTGACTCTGAAGGACTAACAGTTGATGCTATTTAAGTCAAAGTATATCACACTCAACAGCATCGCAATAAATATTTCAGAATTTTACCATCAACTCGAACATAATTTTAAGTAATTGTCCACTCTAATGTATTGTTTATATTGTTCTAGTTCATGCAAAGTCTAGGTGTTCCAGACACGGTCCAAATTGTTGATGTCTATGGGATTGATCCTGATTTACTAGCTGTTGTTCCTAGGCCAGTTTTAGCTCTTATAATGCTATTTCCTTGTTCTGATAAGGTATAAATTTTATCAAATATCTTGTCTTTTTCGACTAAGCTTCCATTCAATTTCATTTCTTTACGATCAAAAATTGGAATGTAACTCTTAAATATGTCTTTCTGCCTGACTGTAGTCATAGAGGAACTGTTCCAGCCGTAATGTCCGATCAACTGCTCTCAGATTAAACAAATACGTGCCTGGCAATGAGGTGTTTATTATTGCTCATTCTTCTCCATTCATTCACAGATGAGGCTCTATAGTGCCCTTTTTGTTATTCTAATTTTTTTTTTAAAAAAAGGGTCTCAATCCTGACTCTTCTCATTTGGATAAATGCACCAATAGTTAAAGGTACCTTATGAAAATCATAAAGCATCAAATAATGATGAAACAATAAAGAACCCAACTATCGTCCATTACCTCTTGTAATATTTTTTTCTCTTGATCCTTCAGTGCATCTTTAAAATTAAAGCTTTTCTGAAATGAAGTCATGCAAGCCTTTCTTTCTTTACTTGTTGCTTCTGTGCCATCAAATATTTTGACATTTTTCTTATCTGTGTCTTCCAGCATTCGGAGTACAAAACTGAGCAGGAGAAGGAAATAGTTAAAAAAGGTCAAACCGTCTCAGAAAATCTGTTCTTCCTAAAGCAGTATGTTCATAATGCATGCGGCACCATCGCTCTCATTCACAGTTTAGCAAATAATCAAGAAAGGTAACCAGTTTTTTCTCTAATATCAATTCACTGCATGGGCAGAACCAAGGGGAGGCGGGGGGAGGGCTGGCCCCTGCCAAGCAATTTGAGATTTTGCTAAGTAAGCGTGTGACTATCTTCCATTTATGCAATCAGCCACCAGGCATAGTATGCATTAAAGCACTTTGATTATTGTTTATCTTGGAAATTTCAAAATGAATATTTCCTGTAGAACATGATTCGTAGAAGGAAAATGAGTGATAATAACTCCTAACTAAGATAATAACATTTTTATTTAGCATTAGTCACGTATAATGTGAATTTCCGACTCAGAAAAAAAACAAGATCCTACCTGAAACTAGTAGTGGCGTACCATGGTTTTGGTAGGCTTCTTAATAACGCAGTGGTCCCTCCTCACCATGTCTTGTTCAAAGTATAAATAACATCCTATAGCCGAGCCCAAGTGTTCAGATTGAGCTTCCATCATTTTCATACTACGAAGGCTCTTATGCTAATTTTGTGTGTGTGCTAATTTTCAGTGTTCATTTTAACTCAAGTGGATGATCCTTTTTCTATGAGCGCAAAGTCAAATTTATGCATAAAAAGATGTTGATATCTTGGTTAGGAGTTTTTTTCAGTAATTTTCGTTGTATAAATTGTATTCTACATGAAGTGTTGAATGGTGTTTTAAAAAAAAAATTTGAACTTCTTTTTTCAGTCTTGTCATCTGGAAATGATTGATTTAACCCTTTATGAGTGATCATAGGCCTTGATCACTAGTCATTAAGATTAGTTGAACTTAGTCCTTTTCTTTCTTATCAAATTGTCTTCATATAGGATTTTTTTTTGGCGTAACTTACATTCTGTCTTTTTTCTGTAGTAATGAGTTCGACTCGGAACAAATTTTGTCCCCAACTTCCTTAATTATAATCTCTAATCTGTAAATTGATTATCTGCCTTAGTTTTTTCATTCATCCACAGATTCATTCAGAATCATCAAAACGATTTCTGAGAGTCTCTCAGATGATTGGCAGCAATTTTTATAAAGAATGGATACTTCCTTAATAGAATTTTTTGCTCACATCCTATTAAGCCCATTTTTCCAAAACTTCATTTTTGCTTTAACGTTTTCTTTGGTATCATGACAGTACAGCATTGTAAATTCAAATATCAAAGTAGCAAAACTTTGTCCAGAACAAAGCCCAAAAAAGCACATCCAATATTTTGCCATAAGCAATCTGTTTATAAATAAAATTCATTTCCTATCTACTTATTTTTTTGATACCTTCCATGTTCATAACAATAATTACTCATTCAAACGACTCGCTTGGTTTTGAAGACAGCAGTTTGGAAGCCTTTTTCTAGTGTGTGCACATATTTATCCGATATTAATTTCGTTCAAATTTTTTTATGTATTTTTTTGTACTTACATAGGGTTACAATTAAAGACGGTTATTTGAAGGAGTTCCTAGACCAGGCAAAAGACCTTAATCCAGAAGATAGAGGGCATTTGTTGCAAAAATCTGAAGGCATTATCAACACCCACAAAGATATTGCTGTAGAAGGACAAACAGAGGTGAGCTCGTTTTTTGGCCTCCTTAAAATTCCAATTCTAACTTCTTAGGTTAATCGTAGTGTAGATTACTGTGTGCTGAAAGGTTCAAATGAGCTTCACTGAGTTATGTTGGATTATTTTTTGCCCAAAAATGGATCTTGACTCATTCAGCAATTAGACCAGTAGTCTTCCAGTTTGATGATCAGCAAAATTTTTTTAACTCGGCAACAGTTCTTTACAAGGCTAGAAAAGGTTTCAAAATGCTGATCATTTTTCGAGACTCAGCAATTTTGCTTTTCGGCAAAGTTCCTATTTAGTATTATGAGAAAAGGCTATTTATTTATTTATTTATTTATTACATTTTGATAAACGGGAGCCGTGAGGCTATAGTATTGGTCAATTCATGTACAATAAAGTTTTTTTTAATCAACTAAAAAGTATTAAATTTCTAAGATAACAATCCGAAAGCACAGAATATTGTTTACAAATTTCGAGAGAGGGCTAGAATTACCTCAGTAGTACCAAGAGAAGCAGAGTCAGCTATTCAACCAGGAGGGTGGACTGGGTTATACCATTCAGCAATTCATCGATACTATAGTAAGTATTTTTTAGGAGGTGTTCCAAGAGCTTACTTAGAAAATATTGAACACGGCCTTCACGAAAAAGAGATTTTAGTTCCCAAGGCAAGGCATTAAATAATTGGATAGAAGAATACTTTACGCTTCGCATTGTTGAAGTCAGCCTGATCTTTTAATTTTTTATGCTCTTAAATCTGCTATTATAAGAGTGGGAAGGACAGAGATCTACAGGAGTAATTAATTTAGAAAAGATGGAGAATTTAATACACTCAAAAATATAGATAGAGGGAAGGGTAAGGAGCTCCTTCTGGATGAATAGCTGGCGGCAGGGGGAATTTAAAGGTCTATTGGTCTCAGAATAAACAGGACGGCCAGGCGCATCAATTTTCACTGTTTGAAGCCTATCTTTAAGATAGGATTTCAATAACACAAGGGCACTATCACTCAAGCCATAGTATTTTAGTTTTTTTAACAAGAGGGAGTGTTTCAGTAAATCAAAAGCCTCTGTGAGGTCGAAATGCATTCTAGCTATAGGAGTTTTGCTTTCAAAGGCATCACAGATCATGTGGCTCAAAATGTCAGATACACCTAAATTTGTCAAGGCAACGAGAGAAAGAAAAGAAGTTCTTTCCTTTATTGCCTCCAGGACCCAAAATTTGCCTCATTTTTGTTGCGATCTAGGAGTGCCAGATCAGATTTTCAATAGAAAAAACGGAATTCAGTCCATTGGGAAACGGAGACTAAAATCCATTTTGTCACAAAATAGGTCAAATTTTTTGTATTAATTTACTGACAGTGTGGAGTAAATCAAGCTCCTAGGAATTTTCTCAGATTTGTTTAATTCCTGATTGCAAAGAAACCCTGTTTTGAAAATGCCAAAAATTAGACCCATTTGAAATTGTATATTTGGCGGGGCTGATAGTGCAGTCAGGAGAGGAAAATGGTATTTTCTGATTGGCTGAACTCATACTCAGGTATTGCCTTGTTACATCCACTCCACTGATAACTTTTGATTGGTCGGATTTTTAATAGCTTTTTTTTCCCACCAGAAATAATTTTTTGAACTTTTCAATGAACAAAACTTGAAATTAAATCAAAGAATCTTATAACTTCTGCTGAAGTGGAATATTGAAAATATCGTAGTGAAATAGGTTATTAATTTTTAAGATTCGTGGCACCATGATCGTCAAGTTCATGTCGTACATCTTATCAATCCTTTTTTTATATTCATACTTGATATTTTTTTTTCATTGCTAGGCACCTGATCCAACAGATCCTGTTCCATACCATTTTATTGCTTTAGTTGAAAAAGAAGGCAGCTTGTATGAACTTGGTAAGTTTTCTAAGAAATTATTTGTCTATTTTTCAATTTATTCAGTCTATGTGAAGCTCTGAGTCATACTTACTTTAAAGAAAGTAAAAAAAAGTAAGGCAGGTAATTTTAGATCTTCAGAAAACCTTATATGGATAAATAATAAGACATCGGACAAGGATAAGAAAAAAACCCATCAATAATGTAGCCTGAAGTGTAAGTAACAAGGTGGTAGAATACTACTGGGTGGTCATGACAGGCATAACACTAGAGTGCAATCCTCGCACCATCTGCCGTTGATACTGAATAACTCTGAGGAAAAAACAAGAAAACTTGAATATTGAAAAAAATCAAGAAATCAGATTAAATACTACCTGATGGCTTTTTTACTGCTACCTTTTCTTCTCAAATGAGGAGAGAAGAATGCTAAAAATGTCAAAGAAGGGTCTTACGTAAGGATTTTTGATTTTTCTCTCTCCAGCAACTTTGCAAAGTTATCCTTCATGACCTCATAACAGGGTGCAAATTGAAGCATTCTGATGCAAAACCTAGACTCTACATGTATCAAACTGCATACTGTAACAGTTTTGGCAAATTTTTTGATCAAGCAGCATTCCTTCCCTGCTTTGTTGTTCAAAGTGTCAACAATGTTCAATATCTAAGCTGATGCGCCAAATTTAAGAATACCATATTTTCATACTGCAGAGACTGTCATATTATTGTTTAGTATATGATTTAACTGAAGTAGGTAATGGTTTTTATCATAAGCGCTTTTATCTTAGTCAAGAGTTATTTTGAATTATTTTCCTTGCACAAATCACGTTTTACATGAAATTATTACGAGAATTTGTGCATTATTGTGCTTGAATTAGCATTTTGTGCAGTAGTTCACTTGACGCATGTTGCAGCTATAGTTTTTTTTTCATATTTTCATAATTTGTTCGGTGTTTCCTCTCCTCACCATTGCTAACATATACATTGTCTAATTTTTTCCAGATGGTCGCATGTCTTTCCCAGTCAACCATGGTCCATCCAGTCCGGATACGATATTAGAGGTATGTTGAATCATCATTTTTAGCAGTTTGTCAGAATGTGAGCGCAAGTGACTCAGCTTTTCTTTTTGATAGCTGCTCATTGTGAACTCTTCAAAGTAAAATCACGATTTACTAAGAAAACTTATAACCTTATCATTCTCAAAAACCTAAAAACTTCATTGGGCTGTGTTAGTATGTAGATTGTTCAGAAAGTTAGTTTACCAAAAATTAACGTCGAATTCGTCAGTAGAATAGGTGCAAAAAAATTACTCACGAGCATTCTGGCGTTTGTTCTCCAAGTTTACTGCAGAATTTTTTTAGTCTACCAAATCAATATTGTGGGTAGCAATAGTTATCTCCGGATCAAGTCTAAACATGGCAGCAATGGAATCGGCCTGAAAAAGAAGGTGACGGTGAACAATAGACGCACGCAAGTTCCTTCATCTGAAAATTAAGCTGGATACTCCTAAACTGAGATGGACAGATGGCATCTATCTAAAACGTTGAAACGCCACTCACCTCCAAGTTTCCACAAACAAACTTCCTTTAAGCCCTAAATTGAATCAAAAACTTTCAGCAAATATTTTCTTGGGTTTTTGTGCTAAATTAGGAGGTCAAAATGATCGTAAAGGCAGTATACTATGCATACGTGCCAATAATGAAAATAAAGAAAATAAAAAATTAGATAAGATCGCCTCACACAGGTAGACTCTCCTCTTCTTGTTAATTGTTATTTTCTTCACCTGCCTGTATCACTTAAGTGTCAAACCGCTCTTCACAGTGAATGTTTATTTATCATTTAATACCCTTTTAAAGTTGGTCTTTAAATTTATTCCTTTTTTTCCCTTCCAGGATGCAGTCAAAGTTGCCAAAACGTACATGGATCGTGATCCAAATAATTTACACTTCACACTAGTTGCTTTAACCATGGATTCCTAGGATCTGACTTTTTTAATTTTCTTCCGTTTTGTGATTTTACCAAATTATTTTAATATCTTTACTCTCTTTGCGTTAAATTTTTTAACTTGTGGAAGTATTCCTCTTTCATATCTCCTATTATAATGGTAATGTCATCGCCTAGTTATATTTTTCTCTCAGCATTGTTCCAACCAGTTACAAGCCATTTCCAATCTTATGTTCTCTCATTGAATAATGCGTACACTTTACAAGGTTATGGATTACAAGGATTTATTTTCTGATGTACGCTCTCTTCTAAGGAAAGGTGTTATCACTTATGGAATTTGGAATTGCTTATTTATACTGTTTTAACTTAATTTTATATTTTTTTCTCACCCTTTAAAATTTGCTTCCTGTGGTTTATATAATTTTTTCATAAAGTTTTCTACTGATCTTTGATTGTTCTAAAAATAAAAATCACATTTTTCTTTTTACAAAAACACTAACACATGTGTTCTGTAATTTATTCATGCTGTTTTTTTTTTATTTGGTTGAAGTAATGAAAATTACCTGTAGTGCCAGTAAGACCTTTTTGTCAATGCACCAGTTGAAAAGATCGGAATTGAATTGTTACAATTTCTAAGATTCCTTTCATGAAAGAGCGTGGATGCAAGGCATGATTTCTAAATACTGCCGGTTCTATCATCGCATGCAATCAGAATCTGGCTTTAATGTACAAAGTTTATTTTCAAATTTTTGCTTTTCTTTCAAAATTTAAGCACCCATATTTTTCTATACAAAATCTTGATGTGGAAACTCAAGGGTTTTCCAAGGGTGCTTCGTAGCATTTTTTCCTCACCAATTTCTAAGTTCTTTGAATAATCCTGCACCCAGAGGCATAGGAAGAGGGGCTTGGACCCCCCCAGAATTGGAAATAGTCTGCCCCCCCCCCCCCAGAGATTCTGGATGATGCAAAAACGCCTTCTTCAATGGTAAGTCTCTATAGCCGTGGCCTGTGAGAGGATGCCTATAAATAGAATAACCTGTTGAATGCTACAATTTCAAAGTATTTTAACCTTAAAATGCATAAAACTGGGTGATTTTTAGGCAGAAATTGAAGGAAGATTAGCGCCACAAGTGTCTCGAGATGCGCTCAAATTGAGTTAAAATTTTAAAAATTTGGGGGGCCAGGCTCCAAGCAAAAGCAAAATGACCTAGCTACGCCTATGCCTGCACCTATGGTTGTCTGATACTCTTAAACGTATTCTAGGTGTGATACACAGACTTATCTGTTGCTGGTAGCAGCAATTGTTAAAATTGTTGGAAAAACTCTGTTTTTGGCAACATATTAGCGTTTTTTCACCTCCCCTCCCTTTCCCATCCTCATCCGCCATATGTAACCGCCTCAGAAGAAGTATAGTCAGGTCGGTATTTTCAGGGGTAGTTATCAAAAATAATTTTTCTGAATCGACACAACTCTCGCCCAAAAACCAAGTTTTAGACGTGGGCACTTTAGGGTCATTGAGATACCTTTAAACTTTTTTTTATTATATTTTATTTACTTTTTTTAATTCTTTTTTTCCAAAATTAATATTGCTACAGACTTACTCTGGCATATTTTGAGATATCTTAACCTTCACTTCTCTCGAACATGACAACACAGAGGTACAACTATGATGGATGTCCATGTTGCATCTGGGTGTTTCCAAAAATATCTCCTTTTGAAAACCTTGGCTTCACTCAAAATTCTGGTTGCCACTGGCAAGGGCGGACTGGTAGTCGAAAAGTTAGGAGGAAACCTAAATGTAAGGGCCCCTCTAAGAAGGTCCGGGGGCCCTCCCCCGGTAAATTTTGAAAATTTCACACTTTTTAAACACGTACGCATTATTAGAGTTGGATTCTACAGTACTTGAACTTCAAAATAACCGATTCTCAGGATTCATCGGGGGTCCCTTCAAATGCTTCTGGCGACCTTCCATGTCTCTTAGGGACAAATTTTTAAGGAATTCGGGGCCTTTTAGTAATTGAAAAGGATAAGAAAATTCCAACATTACGGGAAAAAACGATGACTCGAAAAAAATTCGCCGCGGGGGCCCCTTCGGGACCTCCGCGGCAAATTGTCAGGGGGCGATCGCCTCCCCGCCCCCATGGCCAGTCTGCCCCCGGGGGCACAGGAAAGCCGAAAACCAAGCGGGAACGCTACTTCAATATTAAACTTCCAACGCCTTGCTAAGGCGCAGGGATACAACTATTTGAACTCTCCGGAACGCGTGAGGTATCACGCCTCAATTGAAGGCGTTTTCCAATCTTCTGTATTTACATGACGAGATTTTCCAAATTTGTTTCCATTTTATTGTAGATTTGAGTTCCTTTTATTATTTAGTTAAATTATTCCTGCTTCTAAATTCTTAAGTATTCTGCAAAAAATATCTTTCTGCGAAGTACAATCCCGGCTTTAGCGCCCTTAAACTCCGGCCTTACCGGTCGAAACTGCAGTAGCGGCACAGGAAAACCGAAAAACAATGCGGGGACGCTACTTCAATATTAAACTTCCATCGCCTTGCTAAGGCGCAGGGATACAACTATTTGAACTCTCCGGAACGCGTGAGGTATCACGCTTCAATTAAAGGCGTTTTCGAATCTTCTGTATTTACATGACGAGATTTTCCAAATTTGATTGCATTATATTGTCGATTTGAGTTCCTTTTATTATTTAGTTAAATTATTCCTGCTTCTTAATTTTTAATTATTCTGCAAAATAGTACCTATCCCTGGGAAAGGGCACCAAAATGCCCCTCCTCACGGATTTTGAATTTAATGGTCTAAACCCCTTTAGGAGGTCCTGAAAACATGGTTTTGGGCAATTTTCACCTCTTGACCCCAACCATCCCCCCTCCAGCCCCGAAAAACCCATTTGTCGGGGAATTTTGGGGTATTGTCACGTTTTATTTCATATCTATCGCATTTTTCGATGAAAATGCACCAAAATTTCACCAATTACATATCAGACCAATTAGATTCTAGGGTACAAAAATAAAATTTATCTTACCATATTTTGACCCCTAAAAAAATTCGTAAAAATCGTCAATTTCCAAATTTTTACAGATTTTAGCGATTTTAAAAAAAATGAGGACACATACATTTTTTGTTTTTGCCTTAGTATGTACGTAATATGCCCAGTTATTACAAAAAAAAAATTTCAAGCCTTCACGCATGGTGGCTCCCACCGAAAAAATTGTTTATTTGGCGCCAAAACGGTCAAAATGGCTATTTTGGCAACGGTGTACTCGCACGCTATCAAGATAGTAACACTAAAATCAATAATTTTTGGTTTCATTGTTTCAAAAAGCATGCCCTAGTATCGTCAGAAAAGGTTTCAAGTCGATTAAGTCCTTGTGCCCCACGTAAAGTACCGGTTTTTGGCGCGAAAATGGTCGATATTGCTATTTCAGAACAGAGGATATACTCGCGCAGGGTGGCCCTAATTTTTGACTAGGTATCCGGGGGTTAAAGTGCGGAACCCTGCAAATGGTTTCATATGATGAGAATTAATTCCTTATACGTTTGTTAGGAAGGGGAAAGTGAATCATGCTACTAGGGAAAGAGCCTAAAGCTCCGAGCGTGGCGTGCGAAGACGCGTTTTTTCGTCATTTCGCGAATTTTTTTCCTCCCTTTGAAATGTTTCTACGGATTTAAAATTTTTCAAAGTAAAACACTGTTTACAGTATTTTACGAACATAATAACAAAATTTACCCCGCTACTTTTAAAATGCCCCGTTTTCCCCTTCAGAGTGGCCACATCGTGTAATTTCGTCTTGTATCAGGGCGCCGTAGCAAACGCGTCCCATTGTTCATCGTTACAGATGAATATAAGTTGAGAGAGGCCAGTCATAATGCCTTCAATTTTATTCATACAGTTTCCTTTGGGCAAAATGAGAGACGACGTTCCTCCATTTGCGACGTTGCAGACTTCTCTAGAAATTTTGTTTTTCTTTCGAGAAGCTGGTCAACATAAAACTTAAATTCTCCATGATTTTTCGTATTCGATAGCAGAAGATTTGGTTCAAAATGTAAAGTCGTAAATTTGGATTGTTCCTCATGGAAGAGATGAATTAAGAACGGAAATTTTGGAACACCGCAATGGAGATACGTGGTTTCGCACTGCAGTCGGTGCGATACGGACATCCATCAAGTTTAAAAAGTTGCATCAAGTCCCCGTCACCGCCGACCAACGCGTTTGTCGATCGAATCATCTACAGGTAGTATGGTATGCGTAGGAAGTCAAAACGCCTTCAAATTTTTGAACGCAATACGGACATCCGTCGAGGTTGTATAGTTGTATCAAGGCGCCGTAGCAAACGCGTCCCATTGTTCATCGTTCCAGACGAATATAAGTTGAGAGAGGCCAGTCATAATGCCTTCAATTTTATTCATACATATTTTTTTGGGCAAAATGAGAGATGACGTTCCTCCATTTGCGACGTTGCAGACTTCTCTAGAAATTTTATTTTTCTTTCGAGAAGCTGGTCAACATAAAACTATAAATTCTCCATGATTTTTCGTATTCGATAGCAGAAGATTTGGTTCAAAATGTAAAGTCGTAAATTTGGATTGTTTCTCATGGAAGAGATGAATTAAGAACGGAAATTTTGAAACACCGCAATTGAGATACGTGGTTTCGCACTGCAGTCGGTGCGATACGGACATCCATCAAGTTTAAAAAGTTGCATCAAGTCCCCGTCACCGCCTACCAACGCGTTTGTCGATCGAATCATCTACAGGTAGTATGGTATGCGTAGGAAGTCAAAACGCCTAGTACTTGGCACCTGAGCGCTTTTCTAATACGACAGTATTAGAACTTTCCCGCTTGTTTTCTTTATTCATATTATTAAATCATTGAGGTTTCTTTGCCCCTCATTGAAGAAATATAACAAGAGCGAACATTGCGCGATGGAGATGTGGTTTCAGAATTCGGTCATACTGTAATACCAGCTCTGCCAAGAGAAGAAAAACGCCGTAAGATCATTCAGATGTTGCAAAATTTCATCCAATAAGAAAAGATAGGTATTTCTGGAAAACTTAGGAATTATTTTCTTAATAATTTCCTTATAATTTATTCCCAAGTGTTGCTGGTGTATCAGAAATTTTGTCTTAATGAAAGTAAATATTATATCTCAAATAATTCAATATTATTTATTAATATTTTTAATTAATCAATTTATGAATATTGAAGTGTGACAACATTTAAATGTTTATGCGGCACTTCTCTATTAGAGACAATTTATTCTAGAGCATGTAACGAACGAAAGTTTGTGAAGGAATATTTCTATGAAATGAAAAAATCACTAAATAATATTATTCAACTTTAAATACAATTTAATAACAGCCATTTTTACTTTTATTCACAATACATATTTACATTCTACATACATTGTATTTTTACAGTTTTCTTATGTACTTAAACTCTCATCGAGTACCGTGGGGAGAGGTGTGTTTGAACGTTTTTCCCACATAAATGTTTCCTTCTTATCGTAAATCGCGTACAAATGATTTCATTTGGTTCTTTAAGTTCTCTCTGAAGGCTAGTGCTTAAAATCAGATTCAAATATGAATAAATACTCTTCAATATCGAGCATCAAAATCTACACGAACTGGAGAAAAGATATTTTTTTCTATCGGCCGCCGGATTTGGAAAGCCGTTGCCTTGTGAATGGGTTATTGCATACTCCACATTTTGAAGGCGTTTTTTGCTGGCCACAGAGGGATTGTGACTTCTATAAGTATTGAGTCTCGTTTTATGTATTATTTTACATTTATATTCTTTCGGCGGTATCTCCGCCTGTATTAATTGTAAATAAAAAAATGCAACTGTAATTACTCCTTTTCCCCATACTTGGCGCTTCGTTTGCGCCTAAAAATATTAACAAAATATTGCGAGGTTGTAGAAATTGTATTTATTCTGTTTTCACTCGCTGAATTTCCTACCTTGTATTTCTCAGAAGGTTTCGAGCAGTCAAATCGGACGTACAAAAATAAAATGAAGCAGAAACTTCGAGACATTGTGACCACTAAGGCTAGGTGAACTTTCATTTTAACGATTTTGAGTTGTTACCGGGAAAAACCACAATTTGATCCGAAAGATTCAAACGTGAATCGCGATTTTTGAACTAAAACCAAGTTGGGCTACTATTTTTTTAAATAAAATTTTTTGAAAAGAAAAAAATAAAGCTCTTATTGAAGAACTTTAAGATACTAGTAACTCTATCTTCCAGAAATTGAGAGGATGGTATACAGTATCACTCTTGGTCACTGAATTGATTTCTTAACGCGCCTTGTGAATTTATAAGCTATCGAAACCATTTGCCATTCAGTTTAATTTCTCATTTTATATTTCTAATCCCCCCTCTCCAAAAAAAAGTTCAATCGTGTGACAAGCATAACGAAAAGGTTCAAAGGGAATAAACTGGTGAAAGAATTATTTTTCTCAGACAATTTTTAGAAACCTGAAAAAGCTGCAAACAAAAGTGGAACATTCTATTCAACCTATCTTCTTTACTTAGAGTATAAGCACCATCAAATTTGTAAAATCCATGAAGAGTGAAGCAAAAATGACATATTTCCGGTAGGTATTCAAGTTTGAGATCTTAAAATCAAGAGTGAAAACAGAAAATTTCAGTTTGAGAAAGCTCTTGCAAAGAAACCTAAATTTTTTTACTGCTGCGGCATGTGAATAATTTGAAGTAAAGTAACCGCTGGAGGCACCCTTTCAGCGATCAAACGCTTCGACATTAAGTAAACAAAATTGGACGAAATATTTACAAAAGCTACCGTAAAGTAACACAAAAGATATACACAAATAAGTAGGTATTAAACAAGTCCTACTTTAGGTACATGTTTGACTTACAAGTCTAAAGTTTAATCACAGTATTGACTCTTCCAATTTCATCGTTTTGAAGGCTCCGATCTAAGCATTCCTTAATCGTGTAGTCAATTCGAACATGTTGACTCTTGGTTATACATTTTAAATGCGGAACAGAGGGTGAGGGGTCCTTACTCATTCTTACACAAAGTCTTGCGGGCTGATTATCGAAAATGATAGACAAATCGATAGACATAGAAGACACAAGGAACATTGAGCTATCCTATCGGTTGAAACGGATGATTGTTACAGACTAAGGAGGAAATGATGGGCTAACTACAAGGTATCTCATGGTTTGCCGTTAGTTAGTCTATTATTATCTTTTTTTTTACATTGCAACCACGCGCTTTCACCAACAGCGGACTGATTATTGAAATTAATGGACAAAGTTATAGACAAAGAAGACACAAGGAATATGGAGCGATCCTATTGGTTGAAACGGGTGGTTCCTATAGACCAAGGGAGAAAATTATGGACTTACTATCGGGTCTCTTGTCGGTTAGTTAGTCTATTACTTACCTCCTTTGTCTATTGCAACCACCTGTTTCCACCAATAGGACCCCACCATATAATTTTTGTCTTCATTGTCTATAGCTTTGTCTATCAATTTCAATAATCAGCCCGCAAGGCCGCTTTATTTCCCTTTTATCTTCTTGGTCTATCGCTCTGTCTATCAATTCCAATAATCAGCCTGCTGAAGGCTTATGTCACTCGTAAAAAAAATCGGCAACAGAGAAATGGAAAACTGAACCAAACTGAAAGCTGACAAGCAAATCTTCTTAACATAAATTGCACATACTCCGTATTATCTTTGCTTAGAGAATTTGGTAAAATACAGCCGGTTTACACAACATTATCAGACTAACGATGCACTACTAAATGTGATAATATAGAACCGAATCACGTATAAAAATGTCGAAATATTTAAGAGTGAAAAGAGAAGAGCCGTGGCGTTTTCTGACTGAAAATGTAGAGGAAACAGAATTGGACTACATTTTGCAATAATTACGAACTTCAACTATAATTTGCGGCTCATTCTGGAAACAACATAATATACGTCGTTAGTTTTCCTACGCAGATAGGTGTTTTTACGTATGAGCCAAAAATTGTAGTTCCTTATTGCAAACTACAGTCCAGATCTACAGGGAATGTAGAGCCACACTATCATTTTGCCTTCAATTTTCTAGGTAGGCCAGGAGTCATCCTTCAAATAGTCATCTGTTCGAGAATTTGTATCGTGACTTGTGATCTACAAAATTTACTTTGCAGTTAACTGTATTTTAACTCGACTGGAAATTATTTCAAGACCTGATACTCGCGCGGTTATAATTGGATGTATTTCTGCCAAACGGAACTATGTGCATTATAACGTGAGCCCTGTTATGCATATGTCGCAGGCAATTAGCAATCGCCGGCAATTTGTCGGCGGTTCACACGTTGTTTCAATAAATCGCAATAATGCGCATCGGCATAGTGCAATTACTAAGGGTTATGGTCGTCAAGAGTATGAGATCGGCTGGAAGCGCCTTCATTTTTTGTGATACCCTACGCTTTGTCACTATGTTAGTTTAGTTGCCTGTCCGATCTCAACCCAACTAATGTTACGGAGTTCACTGCACGCTCTTCTGAGTGTGCACATTTCTGCCATGTTTTTAAGGATGGAAAAGTGTCTATTCACATTATAGGCAACATAATCAGCACTCTAATCGTGTTATTTTATTTTTGAATTTAATGATTTTCTACATTTATTTACTACTGGCTTGTAAATTGCCGGCGATTGCCAATTGCCTGCGACACATATACTCTTATGGGTATCAGGGCTCATGTTTTAATGCACATAGTTCCGTTCGGCAGAAACACGTCCAATTATCGATAGGTAATAATATGATTATTATTAAATTAATAATCAATGGCAAAATAGTGAATCGTTGCCAAATTTTTTTGAGGAAACAGTTGGTCTCTGCAATGTGCGAATATGCAGAGGACGTCACCGGGTGGAGAGGGATAGAGGAAACAAGCATGTACACTTTAGCTTTGAGAGCTTGCGAACATCTTGCTTAGGCTCTTGTCCCATTTTAACTTTATTACGGAAAGCCGACATTTTTTCTTTATTTTCCCACGTTATAATTAAATTCCTTCATCCTATTCCGAGAAACCTACTTTGCAAAAATCGTACGCAGGAATGTTTTTTGGTTTCATTTTGGAAAATTGAAGAAGGATAGGAGTTTTGAGGGGGGGGGGGAGGTTTAATAATATGCTCGCTTCGCACGAATTCATACGCATATTTGTGCAATCACAATCATGATCTTGGTACAATTCATGAGGAGCAGTGTGTATACGCCGGGCATCGGTAGTATAGTTTAGCGTATAGTCAGAAATTTTACATCGGGCTACAGTCATTCAAACATTTTTTATAGCTGAGACTCAATAGTTAAAAAAACAAAAACCTGAAAATCAATAGAAATGACGATTTGAGGAGGAAAGTTTTGGCCGAGGAGGGTTCTTCTAGCCCTCCTTCTTCACCTTGAGACTGCCCTTGAAGTTTCATAAGAAAAACCAGACTTTTCAATTTTTTTATTTCAATTTTTTCATGTTAAACGCGAATAATAATATTTCACGGATACTTTGATGAAATGCAAGATTCAAATTCTTATTTCCTATGAGATTTTCAATCTGAGCTTGTACCAGTCCCCCTCCCTCCCCTCTCGAGGCGCCTATGCCTCGGTGTGTTCCATCTTGAGCTCCTGTTATCCTTCCTTCGCACAATGTGCACGTCCTCCGCACGTATAATGTGTGGTGTAAGTCCTTCATGCTGCATGGATTTCAGCGAGGATCTCAGGAACGGCGGCCGTTGCGTTGGTCCGTTGGTGTGAGGATGCCGTCAGCGGCGAGGACGAATATGACGGGGTTGAAAAAATGGTGGGGTTGAAAAAATGGTGGGGTTTCAGTGCGGCGGTTCGTCCCCGCCGCACTCCTCATCTCATACTCCTTCCCCTCTCATACTGCACATCATCGAATCCTCCAGCGATAGCTCATCCATCGACGAGGATTCTGAAACTGAGAACGCAAAATTCAATTACTTAACGTCACCAACCAAGTAGTAAAATGAAAATATTTTATGAAAAAAAAAAAAAAAAAAAAAAAAAAAAAAAAAATTAGAAAATAAAGAAAAAGTAGCTAGCATTATGGAAGTAGACAGAAAATTCAAAGTGAGTGTCAATATTTACCGGAGAAACTAGGTCTATTTCCTGTCTATGGAATGGATCTATTTTTTCGCATAGAAAATTGATAGGGCTATTTCTTTAAGAATAAATATCCAAAAACCTGATAGAAAATAGAGAAAAATTGAATATTTTCTTGATCTATTTCCTAGGAATTTAAAATTCAGAAAACAGATAGAAAAAACACAGAATGTAGACAACAAAATCGTCCGGAACATAGACAGAAAAGAGAAGTTTTTCAAGGATTTTCTTACTTCTATTTGATACATCTATTTTCTTTACATTTTCTTTCTATTTTATTTGTCCGTCTAGAAAATAGACAATCTCTAAATTAGTGCTGGACAGAAAATAGAACCCCATGCTACCTGGGCAACCAGAGCCTTGAAGGAAAAAAAAAATTTAGTCGTAACCGCGGGAGAGGGGAGAAGTAGGGCGTCGTACCCCTCCTAGCTTCTGCACTCACAAGATATTTGAAGGGCTTGGAGGGCAAGGCGCATAAATGCAGTTTTTAAAAAAATTGAGATAGTAATGATTTCAAGTAAAACTATAGTCTGAATGTTTATTCTCTGAAAAATTCGCTCCCAAATTTCAATTTTTAAGCATCAAAAAGTCAGTTTGAACTTTCTTCCCGCCATGAGGATGCATGCTGTTTCGAAACTTCAAACACGTATTCCTTGAAACAGTAGAAACTGCACGCACGCGTCTTGTCCTCCAAGCCCCTCATTTGATTTTTCAATTATTCGTGACCATATGTGCTGTCCAAAGAATCCAGAGCAATTTGAATTGTTAGTCTGTTAGTCATCTATCAGATTTTTAACAAAATGTGTACGGTAACAAATACACGCAGTGCGAGGAAATGACACGAAAACAAAACTTACCAGAATGGTGTGGCACGTAAGATGATTTATGTTGCTGTTGTTGTTGGAAGGAGTAAGTTAAATGCAAATTAATATGCCGGCCGAAATTCCCTGTCTCGCCTGTCTGGTGAACTGAAATATAAAAGCAAAAGAAAACGGTCAATCGTTTAGGTCACCAATTGCATACATAATCAACAGCGTTCACATACACGGAAAAATTGCTTAACAATGTTGCTCATCAGCTGTAGTTACCTAAGTTCAGCGATTTTTCCATAACGTAGTGAAAATCAATTCTGGGAAACCTTCAAGAAAGGCATTGAACTAAATGAGACATTTGTTTAAAGTACTTATTCCTTTAAAAAAAAATTAGCAAAAATATTTTGAAAAAAACATTTTACACTCGTATGCGTAAAAAATAGCAGGAAAAGTGTCTCCATTCTCAGAAAAGCTGCACGAGTTTTCAAAAGTTTCCTCGTCTAAACTTTTTAAGTTTTTATTTGATAGCATTTTTTTTTTAGTGGAATTTCAAGGAATTACTGCCATGGGGGTGCCAACGATAGCACTGATAAGAGTAAATCAAAGTTTTTTATGGCATGAACGTCTCTGTGGAATTTTATTCATGGTTTTATAAAATGTAAGCGCCTCCCTGTACAAAAAAAAAAAAATGACAGCTTTGTTTAAATGAGTATTTCATGAAAAAAAAAAATCTTTTTATAATGGTAACGACCTTTCATTCTTGATCTGATCATGATTCCATTGATAATGTTCTCTTTTTTTCTTTTTCTTTTTTTAAACTTTATTTTTGACACATTATGGGCAGCTAAAAAAGAGAAATCAAACTACATTTCAACACAACGATGACATGCAAATAAGACGACCTATTCCAACTGCATGATAAATTATTAAAGTTCTTTCCTTTTCAAGGGCAACAAAACGCGACTTAACAAAAAAGAAAGAAAAATAGTGACCTTTAGTCGTAGAAATTTCCTTGGTTTTGAGTGTGATTTATTTTTATTTATCAGGATTAGGATACTATTGAAAGAAGGTATTATCTATGAATCAGTTGAGTTTGTCTCGCGGAAGAAGTCCGGGAAAAATTCATTTTAAAAAAGTATTTAAAAATGCAAGGCAAATCTTACGAAATGCCTCATCAATAGTATAAAATTGTCACCCTCAGTAGGGATTTTATGCGAGCAACTTATTGAGGCTAACATTTAAAGTCAAATAGACTTATTAGAGAGAAGGTTGTATTCGCACCCAAACGATATCCTTGTTGCATAAGCGAAAATTTGAAGGCGTTTTGATTTTTTTCCGGAGCTACGCGCGCGCGTCTCGATATATATTGCCGTGCTAAGGAAAAACGCCGTATGAGCCTATAGACGTTGCCGAATTTCCTTCGATGAAAACCGAAGCAACTGAGAAAATTATGGATCTTTTTCCTCAAAATTTTCAGACAATTTCGTTCGCAATTCGATCTAAAATTTATGAAAATTTCAAGGGAAAACATGAATAATTTTCCTCAAAAATACATGTATTATCCAGGGAAATTGCCTCCAACCGAACTTTGTTCGCGGGAAGGCCTGATGGATTTTCGGAGTTTCACATCTGTCTATATACTCTCGCTATATAGGTACTCTACTTTGAAATGAGCGGGAACTCACGGTGCTGAGTTTTGATTTTGCCGGTGTGGAGGTGTTTCTTCTGCCTGGCCCTGGAGTTCTGGAACCAGACCTGGGTGACCCTCTTGGAGAGACCGGTGATCTGGGCTATCCGCTCGAGGTCCTGTCCGTCCGGGTTCGAGTCCAACTGGAAATTCGCCTGCAGCACCTGCAACTGCTCCTCCGTGAACGTCGTCCGCACCCGCTTCGCTTTGTTTTTCCCGCCGTAGCTCTCGCAGTCACCGCCCTCTGAAATCGAAAAAAAACCATCCTCAACGCCCATCCTTTATCCCATCCATTTGTCAAACATTTAACCGCATTAAATGGACGTATTTCTGTTGAACGGAACTAAGTGCCAAATTGAGTTCTTCTTGAGGATTTTAGAATCCCGGATAGCGCGTTCTGTCAAACGGAACTAAGCGCCATGAAAAGCATTGCGAGTATAGGACGGAACGAGCATCGCGTACCGCAACACCCGCCAGTCCAAGACTCCCCCCTCCCATCCTCCCTCTATGGCGCTTAGTTCCGTTAGATAGAAGTATGCCCAACTAGGCAATCCACAGAAAAAATCCTACTAATTATCAGCCAATAGCCCATTTATCCATTTCAATTCTTTTTTCCGTCGCATGGAAAGTTATTTCTTGAAGGAAAAAAGTAGAAACGAGGATTTGGAGACGTTGCTCAGTAGATCGGGTTGATAGGAAAGCTTATATTTTTAAAAATATAAAACAAACAAGTTTAAAAGTGGTTGCATAGGTTTTTTCGTGAAATTTCCTGTCATAAACACCTCTTGAGATTGAATATGTGACAGGATAAACATGAAAATTTGAAATTTTAGCCAAAAATTTTATGTCTAATCTCCTCTGTTGGCTCGTTCTACTGGGCGTCACTGCGTTAACGGCGTAGCTCTGCGATATATCGATTAACCTGCCATTTAAACCTATGAATAGAATCGATAGACGCGGCGTTCGCGACGAACACCTCAATAGTCGATTCTTAATCATGGCTTCAAATGGGGAAATAGCGATAATCGATAATTTACGCCTCGCCCCTGCGCTGTGCGCTGCGAACAAGATCATACGAGTCTTCTCGGCTTTACCTAAACTGCCGTGATAAGGAAAAACGCCGTATGAACATTCGAGAGTTGCCAAATTTCCCTTGATGAAATATGTATTTTCGAAAACATTCATGCATATTTTTCCTTGAAATTTTCAGATAACTTAGATTAAATCGGGTAAAAAATTGTCTGAAAATTTTGGAAAATAATATTCGCAATTTTCCCGGTAAATTCGATTTTTATCGCAGGAAACTTGGCAACGCCTGAAGGTTCATACGGCGTTTTTCCTTAGCACGGCAGTAAAGCAAGCGAAAGTTTTGATTTCTCCGTCCTGCATGGAAGCAAAGGATGATAACAGAGCGCGATGCCATTCAAACTGCCCCGGGAAAAGGGACGGCAGGGATGGGGAGGGAGGGAGGGACGCGGAGAAAAAAATGAAGCCGGGATTCAGACGCGAAAAGCGAGCTGGGAGCGGGAAACACAAAAGGAGCAATTTTAACGGGAAAATTATCGGAAGTGATTACAAGACTCCCCGGCGGGTATCCGGCCTTGGCGCCCCGATCGCGAGGGGGTGGCGTGGGCCGGGGGTGAGGAGGGGGAGGGGGAGGGGGAGGGGGCGCCATACCTCAACATCGGCGATTTGCAATTGAGATGCGGGTGTCAGGGGGGCATCCCGACGCGCAGTTGCATCCGCTTATCAAATCGCCCTTCAAAAGCCCTGGCCTTTGCCAGATTCCCCGTTTATGGATAATTAGACAGGGCCAAGCGCCGTGCTAAAGTTTCACCACTTCCACTCCGGAGAAATTACACGTCATTTATTTGTAGGGAGTGCCCCCTTGGCCGCTACACGGCCCAACCCTCAAGGGTGCGAGAGCTCGTTTCGCGAGCTCCCATGAAATGGATTGCATTTTGCAAAAAGGAACCAAGAGCATTCCAATGTCGCTAAGATTGTGCAACTTTGTCAATTAACCTTCCGCAAATATAAACTGATCATCTAAAGAAGATTCATCTTTACTCTCAGTAAACTATAAAGTCTTGACGAAAATTACCTTTGTAAATTTAATTTTTTGCAGGATTTCAGTAACTGTGTTGCAAAGAACGTAAGTTGCACAATCCTAGCAACATTGGAATGCTCATGGTTCCTTGTTGCAAAACGCAATCCAAATAATGTCAAATAGAGCGGGCTCATCTGAGGACTATCCGGATTGCATTTTGCTAAAAGAAACCAAGAGCATTCCAATGTTCCTAGGATTGTGCGACTTGCATTCTTTCATAAAAAATCACTGAACTCACGCAAAAAATTACATTTTCAAAGGTATTTTTGGATTGAATTTTATTGGGAGTAAGGATACAACTTGTTTAGTCGATTAGTTTATATTTGCAAGGTGAAAAAAATTGCACAATCTTCGCGACATTGGAATGCTCACAGTTCCTTTTCGCAAAACGCGATCCATCTCTGATCGGAATCTTCAAAAATCATAAAAAAATCGGCCCGGTTTATATTTAGAACGCACTGTGACTGAAAATAAACATTTTCAATGTTTTATTTGGGAGAACTTATACAACTTTATCACGATACATACAGTGGTATTGGTATGTATGCTTTTTTTGACTTGAGCGATACGCTGGCATGCGATGTATCGCACGCCAGAAACCGTGACAACATCACCTTAACATGCATGAAACCCTCGTTAGCCAGTGGCTCATTGTAATCTTGGCCAGTGGTTCCCTGATTGTGAATTTGGCAACGAGAAAGAGCGCAGAGTGCGGGAGCCGTCTCTCTTGCGCGGCAGGAGTGGTTCGGGGCTGTTCGGGGTGGTTGGGGGGAACCCACCCCAGCGGGAACTTTGGCAGATCGCATCTGGTAACTGTCTATTAGAATAGTGTCGGAGCTATGTTCGATTGCCGCCGCTCACCCTCTTCACCCTCCTCACCCTCTGATAAAAAAACTAATCCCTTGTGTTCTCGAGTGAGTAATTACTTTGTAATCCACGGTGTTCTTTTTGATTCCGCTGAACTTGGAATCCGCGCGCGTGTTCTCGCTAATCTCATTATGCCCGCAGAGTGCACACTCGGGGGTGCGCTCCCGTCTTGAGTAAAAACCCCGTATAGGCATTCCGATGTTGCCAAATTTCCTCTTCGAAAGAATTTGTTTTCGAGGAAAGTTACGAATATTTTTCTTTGGAATTTCCAGACTTTTTACATCAAATTACGAACGGGATCTAGTGGAAAAGTAGATGAGAAGTATTTACAAATTTTCCTGTAATTTTGTGATTTGTCAGAGGAAATTTGGCAGCGCTTGATGGCTCATAAGGTGTTTTACTTATCATGGCAGTACGATAAACCGCAGTGCCAAGGAAGAACGGCCTATGGACCTGCGTACATTGCCAAATTTGCATCGATTGAATACGAATTTTATGGGAAACTCTTGAATTTTTTTCTTTCGATTTTTCAGAGAATTCAGTTCGCTTTTTAATCGAAAGTATTCGGGAATCTCAGGGAAAAATATCCATAGCTTTTCTCAAAAACACAACTTTTACAGGGGGGGAATTTGGCAATAATTGAATTTGTATACGGCGTTTTACCTCAACACAGCCGTGTATAGGCGTCCTGAGTTCTGCCAATGATCCTCATCTCCAAATGCTGCGCATTTCCTAAAATTCATCCTCCGCCCTGGATGCATAATTTGCCAGGCGGCAATTGTATTAAAGTCTCGGAGCTCCAGACCCTCCCCCCCCCCTTACCTCAACCACCCACTCGCAGTTTCCTATCACAGGTGCTCGTAGAGGACCAGTGGAGGCAATATATGCTCTGGAGACTTTGGACTAACAATCTAAGGAATGTCATCGAGTGCCATTGGCGGATCCAGCAAATTGGCAACATTGGTTTCTCCATTTAAACCTATGGAAATGTATCGATTTATGGAGGGGCTAGGTGCTTTGACAAAAATCGATATAAGTTTAAATGGCGAGGGAATCCGGTGTTGCCAAATTCCTGGATCCGCCTCTAGCGAAAGTCAAAGCTAGGGGTCAATCCTAATTTTTTGCCTAATTGGACGTATTTCTGTCAAACGGAACTATGTGCATTATGATGTGAGCCCTGTTATGCATATATTATTATGGATCTCAGGGTTCATGTCTTAATGCACATAGTTCCCTTTGACAGAAATACGTTCTAATGATGGTTGAAGAACAACTTGACAAGGAAAACCCGGAGGCGAGGCGTTCGTGTAAGCAAGGAAAGGACTGTCACAAATCTTGCTCAGATGCCTAAATGTTCTGCTATTTCGAGAACCGGCAACGTTGTTATAAATTTAAAAAATCAATGCATTATTAGGAAAATTGATAATGCTACGATACATATTAGCAAGAGGTCACTTGATCGGCACAATATGCGACGCTGAAATTAAGTTGAGGTGAGACAAGCTTAGCAACCTAGTTAGTTTCTCTGAACGAATTTCGCTAAAACGGCTGGATACAATTATTCAGGCTCCACGGATGTTCGTGTTGCATACGCACGAAATTGAAGGCGTTTTCACTCTTCCGACACTCACCACTTCACCCGCGACGGCGAGTTGAACTGCGAGGATCCAAAATGACAGAGCGCCTTCAGTTCCTCGTTTATATTACGAGGATACCTTTGAGGCACGAATAATTTTTCTATAAATCATTCTCAGCACATCGCTATATCAGAACTGAAACCCAAAAGACACTCACATCCTGTAAACATGTGCGCACTATCCGTGCGTAGTGGATGTTTTGTATTATAAACGAAGAATTCGAATGCGCTCTGTCATTTTGGATTCTCGCCGTAGAACCTGCTGCCGCACTGCGCAGCAAGTCAAGTGATGAGTGCCTGGAGAGTCAAAACGCCTTCACTTTCGCGCGTATGCAACACGGACATCGCTGGAGCTCGAATAGTTGCATCCAGGCGTTGTTATGAAATTTTCTCGGTGTTCGTTGCTTTGCTCGTTTGATTTCAGCTCAACACAATCCTAGCGTCGTCCATCGAGCCGAAGAAGTCAATTATTACTGTTATAATTATTATTATTGTTGTTATTACTGTTTATAATTATTATTTTTTATCGCGACATTTGTAATATCAATTTGCCGAAAAATGCTTCAATGGAAAATTTGCACGCAAATGTTTGATTGCTCCTTCCAGTAGTGCTTAAAGAGCTGATTTTGCAGTATTTTTTATACTTTGTTTCTGATACGGGAGCATAAAAAGAGATTTAAAGATAAGAGAATGCACCGCCCAGTGACGTCATTTGCCGGCATTTCCCTTTTAAACACATGTATCTTAGCAAATCAGATCATTTTGTCATATCTCCTACGACGATTGTTCAATTTATGAACCAAGGGTAGTGGGTAGCCTCGTCTTCAGTTCACTTAGTAGTTTCCATTTAAACACGAAATCCATCAAATTCCAGACACGTGCAAATGCTCAATTGTTTAAATGTATTACATAACGTTGTCTTTCTAAAATATGAGCTGCGGCTCCGTTTTTCCTGACCTAGGAACACTACAAGAAAAAACTTTCCATCATAATATGTTGATACAATGGATTATTTTTCGTTCTTTAAAACTATTTTTGCTTTATGTTACAATGTATTCCAATCTACATTTGTATGGATCCGTGAGCACCTATGTCTAAAGTTAGAAATGAACAAGTGCAGCACGCGAAGGTAAGGCCATTAGATCAAACACCAATACGGTTGGTCGTTAGCTTTTACCGACCTCATTAAAATGCAGAACTTTAACTAGCCTGATGACGCACTTACGATGAGCTTTTGTCTGAATCGCAAAAAACATACATTTTTCCGCGTAATAAACATTATTAAGTGAAAAAAGTCCCAGTTCAGCGTCACAACACAGTCCCGACTGAAGTTTTCTTTTTTATTTTTATGTTGTTTTTAGATAATGAACATTCTATAAATGTGGAAGGTGGTGAGTGCTGGTTTTTATTAGCTTCGGTTCTATTATTGTCGCAATTTCTATTGTTGTAGTTATACACTTGTTTTAACATTATGAACTCAGTCAAGCTCGAGTGAAGTGAACTATTTTTTTTTATCGATCGATACAGTGATTTTTTTTCAAGATCGACATGGAATCCGAAGATTTGCAGGCCTTAGTGACAAATCTACTTGAGTACGCGCATTATTGCAGGTATTTCGAAAAAGCCAAATAATTTCTTTATTTAAACCCATGTAAAATATCCACATTTTATTTTTTTACCTGGCAACCTCGTATCGCCAAATGCTAAAAATCAGCACTTTTCTCCGTGCAAACCCCTATAAAATATCCACATTTTATCATATGGATTGAATTCCGCAAAAAGAGCGTTCCAATGCTGCTGGAATTGTGCAACATACATGCTTTGCAATAAAATTACTAAAACAATGAAACAAATCAGATTTACAAAGGTGATTTTCGTGTTGCATTCATATTTCATTGAGAGAAAAGATATAACTTTTATCGATACCTAATCGGTTTACATTTGGAGGGTGAAGAAAGTTGCACAATCTTAGCGACACTGGAGTGCTTTTGGTTTCTTTTTGGAAAATGCAATCGAATCGACACTGTCTTCTTTTGAAAAAATAATTTTGAAATCGAATGGGTGTGGATGGGTTGACGTTTTTCTGTTAGGATGGATTGTAGCCTGCATAGAAAAGTTGGATTTGATGGGGATGAGTATGTGAGAGCTAAGGAGTTAGGGAGTTAGGGATTTTAGGGGTACTGACCATCGGAGCTGGAGGCGGGTCCGTCGACGATCTCGAGGTAGTGGGTCTTGCAGAGGACGCGGTCCTCGTGGAGGGCGAACTCTTCGCCGGTGCTCAGCTGCCGCTTGCACGCGTCGCAGGCGAAGCAGGCCAAGTGGTACACGTGCTCCCGCGCCTTCCGCACCCAATCCGAGGCGCTGATCCCCCGGCCGCACTTCCTGCACTTGGCGCCAAAACTTCTGGAACAAACACACAAAACCCTTAAAACCCATTCAAACAAATCATAGACTCGAGCCAATTCTCACGTCAATCCGATCCTGGGTGGCAACATTTCATGAAAAATAAAATCTTCAAATTCTCGTGAAATATTTCATGAAATTTCAGAAATTCATGAGAGATTTTGAAAAATACCGGCTCCTTTTCATGTTTCGTAAAATGTAAAAATCGTGACTTTCCTCTACTTTTGCGTGTTTGAGTGCGGGTTGCATACTCTAGCCCCTGAAAAATATGAAATGTTTGACAGCCTCGTGAAATTTCATGAAATATTTCACTGAAATTTCCAATCTCTCATTTCTTTCTTACTTTTCATGCCACCCTGGTCCGATTCCATCGTCCTGGAGTTCCTGGACCCGATCAAGTTGCTCACATCGTTCCCATCAGTAGGGCGCGTTTGCACTGACGGCGCCGAGTTTTCGAAACTCTAAGATGAAAGCTTGGCGTTAGGTGGCAATATATTTTGTCCAAAATGAATCTCAAACCGCAGCGAGGAATGGGGGTTAGTCTATCAAAGCGTTACATCATTTTTTTGAGGAATGCAGACCGGCAGCCTAATTGTTGAAATTTTGTTTTTGTCCGGTAGACATAGATGACATAGGTTAAATGGCAAAACGTGATTTGTCGGCTATGTCTGATCGCTGCTTTATCGCGCCTTTGTGAAGTTGAATGGACGACATACTAGCGGAAACTTAAGAGGTGCCTTTAGCTTGTCGTGAGTTCCACCCGACATAGGCGCGACAAAACAGCGATTAGACATAGCCGACCAATCACGCTCCACCTTTTAACCTATGTCATCTATGTCTATCCGACAAACACAAAATTTCAAAAATCAGGCTGCTGCGTTACGAGGGGGAGAAGAAGGGGGAAAAAATCCGACTTAAGCGCTGAATATTCTCCGAGGCTTCTACTATTTTTTCTGTACCTGTTAGATGAGACAGATATTTTAGTCCCTGTCTGGAAAATGTAGTCCAAATGGACGTATTTCTGCCAAACGGAACTATGTGCATTAAGACGTGAGCCCTGAGACCCATAAGAATACGTGCATAACGGGGCTCACGTCATAATGCACATAGTTCCGTTTGGCAGAAACACGTCCAAATAGAAAACCGTTGCGTCGCTTTACCGACTTGAAAATTGACTACATTTTGCAATTAGAAACTGCAATTTCTGGTTCACTGGATAGAAACAACGTATGTGCCATTAGTCTCCCTCGGTAGATAAGCGGTTTTATGTGAAATCAAAAATTGAAGTTCCTTATTGCAAAGTTCAGTCCACTAATAACGCCCTTCGGTGCCTTTCGAGGTGCGTTACTCCATTCTCGGAGGTGAGTATAACATAACTTATTTAAAGCGGGCGCGAAGGGGTAGGTAANGGGGGGGGGGGGGGTGACGCGGAGAGTAATCGATAATGGGTGCAAGTGCAAGTGCAAGTGCAGCGATCCGGAATCACGGTAATTAATCGGGTCGAACCTCGAACTTCGCACACTGGATCGAGTCGATCGGAGAGGCCGGACATGAAATTTATGACTGAAACTGCAAATTTGGATGTTAATTTGATCATATTTTAAATTTTAAGGGGTGTTTCTAAACGAGATTCTCACGAGGAAACCAATGAAACCACTTCTAGAGTCTCAAAGTTTTGTATGAACGGAGTTATAAGCGTTTGAAGTTTCCAAATTGTGTCCGACCTCTCCTATTGACTTGATCCATTGTACGGCGAGGAGAAGAGAGGACCCGGCCGGTAGCGAGGGGGCGGGGAGGGGGAGGAAGAAGTGTGCTCGGTTAATTAAACAGATTCGATGTAATTTTGCGTTTAATTGGAGACTGTTGTTGTTTTTTCAGGTGCATTCTGGGAGACGGGGGCGGTGGGAGCCGGTGTGGGGGCCCATTTACAAATGGTTAAATCGTGTAGCCCGCCGATCGTACAAACATAAATTTGTAAAATAATTAACTACACCGGAGTCTACTTGCTTTTCGGCTTTGATTTTTTTTTCCAAATTAATTAAAATTCCAGGCGGACGGGGGCGATTGTTCGCTTGCCGCTGGACGCCGCGGCCGCGCCGGGATCCATAAATTCCTCGAGGAATAATCGAAGGCACCGGCCGCGCTGCAGCTCCATCTGGGAACTCGCAGAGCGTCTGACGCGTTATTTAAATCGTTATGAACCTTCCGGTGTTACTTTGTCACGCCTTGATTCATTCATTCAACACGTCTGTTTTCCCTTAATCCTTTAAAAGTAATAATAATTGGACCGTGCTACAAGCAGAGAGGAACCAAGTCACATCAGCTGTTGCCAAATTTAATTGGACACAGTGATTTTTAACATGAAAACGGTTGTGCGGATTTTTGACCGAATTTCAGTGAATTTTCTGCATAGCACAATGCAAATTCCTTGAAATTTTCAAAGAAATCCGCACAAACGTTCCCTTATAAAAAAATAAATTGCCTACTTAAAGGCAACAGCTTGGTTCCTTTTCTGCTCAACGCGGTCCAATTGGACGCATTGAATTAGAATCAGGGTTACCTGCCTGATTTTCCCTCGAGTTTTAATTTTTTTTAAAACAGAAAACTGAGAACTATGGCGTCGTTTTAAAAGTTTCTGTAAATTTTTTCGAGATTATAAGGAACATCCTCACAAAATTTTCGGTCAGGATTTCGATTCGTTCTCTGTTGAAAAAATATTTGTCATGCAGCCGACGTTAAAAGGTAGAATATTCAAAGGCATGTTCTGACTGGATTTCGACGGGAGGGGGGAATAGGGAGAGGGTATGGGAATAGAAGTCGCGCACATGACTATTGCGCCTTCAATTTTCAAGGTAGACCAGAGAAAATCACCCATGCAGCGACAGTTGTCGTTTCGAGGATTTGTGTCTCGTGTACGAATCTAGCCTCGTAGTAATTTATTCCAACTCTACCCCGTGGTTGCTCTCACAATGTTGCTCGTTTCGATTTTTTTATCCAAGTCTCTGTGATCGACAATAAATACAAGAAATATAAAATAGTAACTCACTCCCGTGTTTCTTGGAAGAAGCGGTATCTCTAAAGCATTATCGTAAAAAACGCCACCAATCAAGCACATTGTACATTAAACTCTGCGAAAAAATCATTACATTTTTTCTGTTAAAAAAAATCTGGAGAGTAATCAAGGATAACTTAAGCTCTCGCGAATGAAACATCTTCATTAAAACCTCTGATTCACCACTTGGGGAAAAGTACATCTATTTTTTAGAGGCATCCATCGGAAATCGAGGAAAATTTCTGAGAAATATCATATTGCACATTTTTCAAGGGAGAATCGTGCGAAGAACTTGTAAAAAACTTATTTGTGATCCAACTTGGAAGAAATAATTATGAAAATGACAGCTCTGTTAGCGCTGGTCCGCATTTCAAATTCCATTTTTTTTTGAAGGGGAAGTTTTCAAGTACACATTCGCAGGAGACATTGCGCGCAGCAAACTGTCGGTGATTATTTAACAGTGAAACACATCCTCAATGCAAATGATATGTAAGCGAGGAACGGAGCCAAAGACATTATTTTTACCTTTTACTTTTTAATTTTCTTATAATCCACGAAATAACGTAACAGAAATAATTACTTGGCATAATCGGATTGTTTCAACTAGAATGGGCTTGACTTCGCTTTCACCCAAGAAAATCCAACCTCTTTATGAATAAATCCAAAATGATTTTTGCTAAAATAACGGATCTGACTCAGGACCGGATTAAGGGGGTGGCCACATGGCGGCAAAATTAGGGGTCGGCAAATTTTGCAATTTTTTTTAAATGCAAGTACAAACAAATCGGATTAAGAAAAAAATTACAAACAAGAAAAGGTGACAAAATCTCTCAAATCCTGAGAGTACATTAATTTCTGATAATTTTGTCGAATATCGGTGATACAAAAGACTGCGCACCTTTAATTAGTTGAGTTAAGAGAGAAATCAAACACGTAATTTGGCCTGGAGCGGCGCGGCGCAAAGAGAAATGATGACGAGGACTTGAAATGAGAAGGAGAAGCCCTCGACGCGACGCGGCGCGGCGGTCGGCATGTAACACATATTAGCGCCTACGAGACTGCATGAATACTTCACGCATTGCGTCAAACACAGTGCGGTCAACAGCGGTCGGCGCGGCGCGGCGCGGCGTGAAACGCACAGTGCCTCCAAGACTACATGAATACTTCACGCATTGCGCCAAACAGAGTGGTCAGCGCGGCACGGCGGCGGAAGTTAAAATTATTAAACCAAATTTATGTTTGTTCTTTCTTAATTTTTTAGTTCATTTCTTACAAATGAAAGGCCTTGTCCCCACAGAGATAGGTTTACGGAACTGAACATTCGCGCGAAATTCCGTGAACTTTTGCTAGTAGCGTTGACAGGGCTCACGCAAAAAATGTGTCCAAGACGAGTGAACGCGTCTTATGCACCCTTCTCCCTCCGGCACGTTCACTTGATGGTTTTTATTGATGTTTTAAATGAATGAGAAGGGGGCGGCAAGTAGGTAAATCCGGCCATGATCTGACTTAAAATTAGAAAAACTTAATTTTTATTCATTTTCTCTTACTACTTTTGTAAAATCACATAATGATACGGTGCAGTTCAGACCAAAAGAGCAAACTTTAAAGCATTATATTGCTCTGGTTTTTTGACAAGGCGTTTATTTCTCAAAATGTTTACTTAACACCCTTTCAAGCTCATATTTCAAACACAATGTTGAGTTTTTGTGTTTTAAACTCTTTGTAACAAATTGATCTAAAGCCCTGAGAAGATATCTATTTACGTGTTTATTAATGCCAATACGATGCGCATACTGTTTTCTCGTTTCTTGAAAAGTTCAAAAACAAGATTCTTTTTCACACATGCTGTTCTCATCTGACACTGAAAAAATCACACAGCGTGAAGGAGTGATAACTTCTACCGATCTTTTTTTTTCAGTGGAAGATGAATCAACAGGAGGAGTAAGCA